CTTTTAGTGATTTAAGGTGTATGATTATTTCAAAGATGCTTCCATGCTCCTACTTGGGCTGAAATAAAAATCCATCTAGACATGAGAGCGCTGCTGCAATATTCTGTCATTAGTGAGCAGCTTTGATTCAGCAGCTGTATAGTTCCGAGTACAATAAAATACTTATGGATTTATTGTAGTCCAAAGCAGAAATTTACACTCACAGTGCAATCAGTGTAAAATCTAATTATGACTCTGGGTATAGATTGTACTGTGTGATTTACTAGCCATCAGTTGTTGAATTGCTAAGAGATTTCACATTCAAACTGATCAAGTGAAATCTTCTAAGTCCATTTCACTTCATCAGCTGTTTCCCATCATCATTCCAACTTTTTTTCTTGCAGGGTTCCTTGTGTCTGCTCTATCGTTGCCACTAGCAATGATGCAAGCAGCAGAACAGCCAAACAACAGAAGCTGTGACTATCAAATAGGTTAAACTCAATCTGAATCCATTCTGTCACTGAAATTTCAGTAACTTTACTAGCATGACACAAAAGCATTAACCTTTCTACACATTTGCTGCTTTTCTAAGAGCTGTGAACAAGCGCTTGGCACAGGTTTATTGCTTTTTGCCAGTTGAGGTTAAGAATTGCTCTTCAGCCAGTTTTTATAGTAAAATGGCTGCTGCCTGAAAACACCGAGTAGAATATAATAGCTGGTGGTAAAAACTCCTCATCACCACTCTGCCTACTTGATGTCCTCCGGATTGAAGAAAATTTTCCACTGCCATTCCATTACAGCTTCCTTGTGTCAGTAATTGTGGGAGCAAACCGCCTCTGCATCTCAGATCTCATACGGAAAGCAGAATAGTCCACCATGTCAAAAATATGAGTTCTGTTCTTCAGAGACCAGGATGACACAAGGCTCCTTCAATTTAAACATGACCAAATTGGACACATTCCAGACACCCAGTCTTCTATGCTACTAAGGCTACCATTCATGTGATGTAACACATCCAGGAAAATTATACTTACACAGTGTTGTACTGCCTTTAGTTTAACATATTGATCTGAGTTAGTTTAACTTGTTTGCTGTGGTCTTCTATCAACTATGAACAGGCTTGAAAAGGAGAAAATTGTTAATTTAAAATTCTGCACTTCTGAAATTATTAAGAAATCCAATCCTCTTTCTCTCCCATACAAGACTGTGGTGTCCCAAGACAAAGTGAGAATCCTGCCTCAATGAGTCTTTAAAGAAAGGTCAGGGACTTGATGAAACAAGTCTGAGAACTAGAAAAATCCAAAAGCCAGACCACACAATATCAACAAGGAAAATTAAAACAGAGATCCCCTGATGCCTAATGTGCCTGTGGACTCCATACAGAATAATCAATATGGCACTCATTACGCCCACTGGGAGTTGGAACTAGATGATCTTTAAGGTCTCTTCCAACTCAAACCCTTCTGTGATTCTCCTCGCTCAAAATTTCCATTGTCTAATAAAAAAATTACAGATAAAATACAGATTAAAAGTTCAATGTCAAGGAGTACCTGCAACAAATACACACGTCTATCACACATTAATTCTTAGTTCAAAACCACAATGCACTCCTAAGGTCTGGAAAATCTTTAATAAAACTCCTCTTCCTGCTCAGAAACTTGATCCTTATTGACTTATACTCTGAACACCTTCCTATAGCTTACCCCAGCTAATTTTTATCAAAATGTTGACAGCATTAAATTCCATCCCCCCCCCCGCCCCCGCCAAGTAATTAAGTCATAATTTCGTAATGAGGACTTAGACAGTATCACTACACGGCACAAACAAGGGCAGGTCAGATACCCAAGTTAGTTGAAGAACACTCCCGAATAACTTGATGTGTCAGAATGCTAACATTGCCGCCTATGACCAGACCATATGCAGCACTGACAGAGCAGCTCTTCTGGAGCTGGACTTTTACTACTAACATAATGTTGCACTCTGTGAGAGATAAAGCACAGGTGTCTGTGTCTAAAATTCAGACATCTAGCTAACTGAACATACACGGCAGGCCGCTTAAATGCATCTTACATTTTTGCAGTGTAACAGCTTTCATAAAGCACATCAAGTCAGCACATAAAATCTTAGCTGCACATGCAGTCTTTTCTACCCCACCCTAAACAAATTGTTTATTACAGACTCACACTACCCAATCATTATCTTAGTCCCACGCATCCAGACAGCCAGACTGTTACTGTCCAGACTATTTGAAACAACTGAGAGAAACTGAAATAAACTCTGATACAGAAACCACATGAAAACACTGTCGTGTGCCAAAATGCTTCTCTGACCTTGCCTGGTGAGAGGTGATGGGGCTATATAGATTTCAGGTGAAGCTACCCCTGCTTCATTAACTCCTTGGGACAGCAGCAAAAGCCTGACCCTATCCTGGAGTAAGTTTCTGCCCTCTGTGCTTCACATTAAAGAATGTCAAATACATAGGTTCTGTGCCGCCTGAGTAGATCTTCACTAAAAGCCTGTTTAGCTTGTGACAGAAATGACAATAATTAGTGCTGATTTACATTTTTAAGCAGACATTGCCAGATTGCCATACTTGCAGTTTATTATCGCAGGGCATCGCTTGTCATTGATGTGATGTTGTTTATTCGGACTGAATGTCAGTATCCACAGTTTTTGGAAACTTGCGAATGGCTGAGGCTTGCTGTCCAAACATCCTTAAAATTCCAGTTCCATGTATGCCCTGTTCTTGACAGTTATTTTTTCTTAGCTAATTTTGCTTTTCTGCTCGATTTCAGGCTTGAAACAGATCCAAAACTGAGCTGGCAAGAAGAGCACAATCTGTGATGTAGGACAACTGAGAAGATTTTTGCTGATATTTGGTAAATTAAGTGTAAATCTAAACTCTTCATGAAAAATTATACTAAAACGTGAGAAAAACAGAAGTATGAATCTTGAACCATTAGCTAAACACTCAACACCAAACTTCCTTTGGACACTGTACTCCTGCCTTCCTGGTATTTGTTTCTGCGTTCTTCTTTCCCTTCTGTTCTGTGTACTTTTTAATTTTGAATCACAGCACTTCAATTATAATTTATAACAACAGCTTGAACTAAAACTCTTTTATTCCACTCTCGCATGAAAACAAAGCTGCAAGATACAGTAAGCAAAAGAATCTTTAACAGGTATCTTTACAAAGAATTAACAGTTGCTAAATCATCCTTTTCTTACTCATTCCCACTAGAACCAACCCTTCTCTTTTAAAGTACTTTTCATTTTTTGAGATCAGTATTTCTTCAATATATCTGCAAATAATGTTGAAGGACAACCTGGGTACCTCCCTCTTCTTCCCTCAGGGTAGCAAGATGTAAAATATGCACCCCTCAACCTTTCACTTTCTCCCACTCACAGATAACCCACTCTATTAAACTGAGGGTTTTTTCCCTAGAAAAGCCTTGTCCTCCCTCTGTGCTTCCTCAGAAGGAGTATCAAGTCGCTGTGAAAAGCAAATGAAACAAGAAGTCTATCAGTATCCATGCCAACACATACTGTACTTAGTATTAAAACTGGACCTATTTTGTTCTGCTGTCTGTGGTTATTCTAGTGAAAAGTATTTCTTGGCTCAGAATTGGTTCCAATGGTAAATATTTCAAACTTCTCACAGAAAACAATTGCTAATTATTTCTGTAGAAAACAGCTTTACACGGACAACTTGAAAAGAAAGTCTAAATTCATTAAATAAACTATTCATGCTGAATGTAAAAATGTCTCTAGAAATAGTTAAGCTTAGAACAAACTGAAGATGTCTGTCCATTGACTCAATCACTCAGCAAGGAATAATTTTAACCTCTTTGTCTTTCCCATAAGCATATAAATGGCAACAAGGCCAATCTCTCCCATCCACAACACTATACATGGTCATATTTTATTTAATGAATATAAACCTATGTAGGTATCTGAAACATAAAGGGATGAATGAAGGATATAGCCTTTTAGAAACCTTTATATTTGGAGAATATACTTACCTTTAGAAAGAACTGACAAGTTATAAAAAAAAGCCCTGAGATGCTGACCTGCAGTGCTGTCTAGAGTCATGCCAATAAGGCGTTATCTTCCAGCTCCACCTCAGGAGCCGGAGAGACACAGAAAATCAATTTGGAAAGCAGAAGACTTGGGCTTGTAGAATTCCATTTGCTGTCAGTAAGAAACGATTACCTTATATGTGGTATGGATATGGATATGATGGTATCTAGAGATTTCAGGGAGAAAGGTTCAATGCAAATAAATTTTTAACATTTTATTGATGAACAGCAAAAAATGCAGCTTTTGTTTATCATACTGCTGGACGTAATACCAATTTGTACATGTGTAAATAAACTGTTGCACATGTTTTCAACATAATAGCCACTGTTCTGAAAATAACTCAGGCATATGGTTGTCACAGTCATGGACACCACCCTGAGAAAGATCAAGGATACAGAGCAGAGTGGTGGGAGCAGCAGAGGGACCTCAGGACTGTAAACCCAACTACAGCCACAGAGTAAATTGTCAGTGGCTACGTGCTGAGCCATCTGTTGCCTTGACTACACTGCCAGCAATAGTTTACAGATAGCTGGAGTGTGTCTACACAAGCTACACAAAACAGTAACTTCCATGCTCTTTGAAAAGAACAGGATCTGACTTACATGATATAGTAAGCATTGCAGATGGCCTTTTAATACACCTTCTTCCCAGGAACAAGTTTTGTCACCAGGGAACACACAATGTCCTTTGACCTGTATAACCAGAGGCTCGCTAAGCTTTTGTTCCAAATCCCAGTGGGCACATCCTGTAATAATTTCTTCAAATGTTATTCCTGTATCTGTATCAAAAGCAACTTATCAGAGCCCATGAATATTGTTGTTCATATTCTCTATTAGCCATCTATTATCAATGCCTTTCTTTAGAGTAGACAGTGGTCCAAATAGGATACATATGTATATATAATTATTTTTAGTTGAGAAGTGGTCTTGTAACTGAATGAATTACAGATCCGTAGATGAAGTTCTGAAATGGTGCTCCACAGACTGCTTTCCATCTTCTAGAACTTTGGAAATGCGCTGCAAAAACCAAAGGAACAGAGTGCCATATGTTAAAATGATTACTGTATTGGATTTAGTTATATATATTCTAATAACTAGCTTGTGTCCTTAAGCTGCAGCTAGAGAAAAAAAAAGACACTGACCGAAACCTGGATATTTTATCTATCCTGCAAAACCATAAGCCTGTATTTAAACCTGTCCACATGATTCCAGTCATGCTGTGAAGCCCTATCCAAATGGATTTTAGCTTTATTCAGTTCTTTTTCAGATTTGTAAAATAGACATTTTGTCCTCCTTATTTTATATGCTACTTAGGTTTAAATGTGAGTGGATGAGAGCATGCTGAAAAGCTGGTACTCCTGGGTCTTAAATGAACATGTGATAAATTGAACATAAGTGAAACCCTACAGACTTCAAATTAATAGGTTATTCTTGTTCCTACCAGAAAAATTATAAACACACTTAAATGCAGATTTTCCTAAATGTTGCTCTATGCTCCCTGAAGGCACTAAGGCACTATAAATATTTTTAAAAGAATGCAGAAATGAATGGATGAAAGAAAATGAAACCTATTCACCAGAAAAATTAAAAAAAAAAAAAAAAAAAATCAACCTTTGCTTTGAAGGATCAGCACAGAGTTGACACGTAAAATATTACAAGTGTCAGAGAATGCTTATGCACTATGCATATCACTAACTACCAGCATCTGCATTAAATGTCACTCTCCCACTACTTGAAAAAAATATGAAACCTTTAAAACTTTTGAATCTTAGTATCTACACTGAATATACATTTTTTGCTTTCAAACACTATGTTAAATGCAATACTTTTAATTTTGTGAAATTCCCACAGAAATCAATAAAAGGTTTACTACTTCAAAGGAAGGCAAACTGTTTTAAGGAACATTAATGGTTCTACTGTAAGCCAATTTCTACTTTCAAATAAGCATCTCTGAAATCAGAAATGGGCTCACACTGTGCATGTTTTGCCGCATATGCTATGCTTACCTTAGTCTGATGCTAGTGCTAACTGCTCCATGTAATTAAGTTGAACAAATAGCTCGACTATAGCAATAGTAATTGCTTTCCTCTTTTGCTAATAAATGTTATATAAAGCCAAATCAGAGAAAATGAGTAGGTCAGATGAGACCTCTTGTGGTACAGATGCAGAACTGCACATCTGAGCCTTTTTAACACAAAGATGTACATCTGTATATCTGGAAGCACAGCCAGAGGCAAATTTTTGCTTCCCCATAGAGCTTCCACTGCTCGCTCTGACGACAGAAGTAAGGAAAAAGGAAAAAGAAAAAAAAAAAAAAGAAAAGACTGATGTAGTATTTTAAAATTCTGTAAGATTCAGAGCATAGAATTTTTGAAGAGGTAACGCTTTCTTTTCTTCCCCATAAACACACAGAACTTACCATTGTTTTAAATAACTGGTTCACTTTCTTTTTTTTGAAGGTTTTCTTGTCACCATCTGAGGTGGAAGGAAACACTGGTTGACTCAACCTATGTGATGCAATTGTTTCATCAGGTGTCACAGGGCTGACGGACAGAGTTAATCCTTAGAATAGAAACATATTGGTTGCACAAAATAAACCAAAAAAGGAGAGTCAAAGACAAAGCAGAATTCAAAATAATGAACTACTGCAATTGCTAGAAAGAAATTATGTATTTGTCATCTAAGTATATCTTTAGAACACAAAAATAAGTTAAAATTTCCATTTGTTAATGGAGAAGCACTAAACTTGATCACATTGAAGCTGAACAGTGAAAAAAATGAACCAATCTGGTCAAAGAAGAAAAAATAGATAAGTACATGAAAAAGAAGTGGGCCATGACGGTCTGTTGTGTTGTGCTAAATGTCTGTTACAGGCATCTGGGAAGGTAGGGACAATGAGAGGGATAGATGGAGTGCAGGCTAGGAAATAGGATGTGCTAGGGAAGAAGTAGGGGGTGAGAGACATTGAAATAGGGCAGATTTTCTCTGTGCACCCTGGGCTAGAAATGAGTTCCACCTTCAGGTACACTTTCCCCTGCTCTATCATGCAACTGTCAGTCTTTCCACCGGGCAGTTATATTAGCTTGTTTCCCCTCCCTCTTGCTGTGAGGGAGGCTTATGAGATTCTCTCTCATGTCAAAAGCAGAAGTGAAACCCTGCTATGGGGCAACCTTTGGGGATACTCATCTGCCAAAGTGAAGTACAGCACATTGCTTCCCGTTTCAAATGCCGCCCTCGGCTGTGAGGGCAGACTGCAGAAGCCCTTGGTTCTGTGAGGGACACCCTACAGCGCAAGAAAGATGAATAAACCTTGCCTCTTTCAAGGCAGGGGGAATGCCCATGCTGTACAAGGAACCCAAATGTGGAGCTCCAGAAGTAACACTTCTAGGGTTTGCATGTTAGCACTAGGCAGCACAGTGTTATCAAGCAGTAGTAGCGGGCCAGCCTCACATGCACAACACACACTTAAAGTATCATCTTTGTCTCAGAGGCATGGAACCACACAGAGAGAGCTACTTGCTCTGCTTGGAGCAAACCCTTTTATTGCTATTTTTTCTTAACATAGCAGTAAAGAAGTGCAGAACTCTTACCTTACTGTAAGCAGCTTACCTGGGATAGTTGGCATAGAACGACTGACAGAACTCATCTGCTTGAGGATAGATGTTTTCTGAGGTGCCACTACGTGTTCTGAGAGGTTGGTGTCACTCATGAACTCGTATTTCCTTGACAGCTATTTAATAAAATGAAATACTGCCATTTATAATGAATTGAGATATGAGCAACAAAGATCTAAGCAAAATAGTAGTTTGTGAAAAGCATAAAAGAAAGTAATTAATAAACAAACTATCATGCCTAACACCAGTTCTTTAAGGTATTGTTTGCAATAACACAAAATATTATACACTAGCTAAAAACATGTAATGATTTTGCAGGTTATTTCTAGTTAGATGACTACTTCCCATTCCACACAGAAAAAAAACGTACTCTAAAAAAGCTAGCTAGAAGAGATTCTCTAATCTGAAACTGTAGGGTGGTATTCCTACCGTATCTTTGGAATAATACCATCAGCCAGGTCTGACTGTGATCTGCAAAGTAAAATGAAGTTTTGAAAACATTTTTTCCTATTGCATTATCATAGCCAGCTTGGGTGCTGCGAAGCTTGTCACTATTTTTCTGAAGCAAAAGAATATCCTGTAACTCAATATGTAGTGAGATTCCCACAGTTAGGCATATGTGTGTTGCTTGTTTTTGTATATTAATGCCTTTCAGAGCATGACTGTGTTTTATATCTCTATTTTGTATGAGGACATGTAGTGTAAGAAAATCATAATCCTCCATTGTTTCCCAAAAGAATCTTAGCTTTCTATTGAATTCACTTTTCTTTTGATGATTCCTCCAAAAATTTCTGATCAAATGACTTACGCTCTCTCCATGTTGTTCAACAATCTGTTATTACCTGACGTTTTAATTTAGATAGGGCTTGTGTATCAAAAGGACATCTTTCGGATTTTTTTTTTTACTTATTTCTTTTCATACAAAAAGAAGAAAAGTCTCCTGAGAATTCAACTACCCAAAAAAAAAAAAAAAAAAAGGCGGCACTATGTAAGTAACGATCTAGCAGTGCAATAAAACTACTCAGATGCTTTATGGAGCGAGAGATGCCAGTGCCTCCAAACTTCAGTCTGGCACCATTTAAGGAACACTGTTTGCAATCTTGCAGTTTCCTAACTGCTGCCTGCTCCATAACAAGGTACAAACCGGCCAGGGCTCATCACTTTTGAAATAGCCCTGACCGCAAAGAGCTGCCACGAAATGTCAGCACAGTCAATTGCTTCTCCACAGGAAAGCTCACTCAACCCTCCTAGTGTGGTACTCCATTTTAAACTAACCAAGCTTCAGAATTTGCAGCTTCAAGGCTATATTATCTGTCATCATAAGCAAGTTGAGATGTTCTGATGTTTCCATTGATTTGTTTCCTCCTCAGGATCTTTCAGGTTTCATTCATGGCAGGGCAGATTGTCTGCATCCTGCGTATTTCCCTTTACGACAGCTACAGTTCTGCGTGAAATATTTTTCTTTTCCTAAGCAAAGGAGTAATGTCCTCTTTTTTATGGATTATAAAATACTACTTTAAATCAGTAACATACGCATTTCATGTCAGAGAGAGAAATATCAGGTGCCATCTTCTCATCAGCAAACACCACACTGCTTCTTTTTGTTCTTTTTTTGGACCTTCTCATCTTTACTTCAGGGTAAGGATTAATTTGCAGAGCAGTCTCCTCTGATTCTGCTTTTATTGGCTTTGGTAGCACTACTTCCAGATCAAAGCTGCAGGAGAAAAGAAAAAAGTATAAGTTGCTGAGTGATACCTTAAAAGCCACTGGAATTCTGATGTCATTTCCCCATGAAATATAAATGCAGGTCATCCTTTACTCCGACTTTCTATGCTGCCTTGCAGACTGTTGGTAAAAAGTATATGATGTGCTTCAGCTGGCAACTGTATATACAAATAAGATGCGTTCAGGAAGTATGATATCATCTTAAAATGTTGCAAAGAATGTTAAACATTAACGCATGCAAATCCCTTTTTAAAGATTTGTGCAGTAGCTTAAGAACTCCTGAACTAAACAGAGTTAGAGCTCGTATGACAAGCTTATGCATGGTGCTGAAAGCAAGACATGCTATGTTGGTTGTTGAAAACAGTGGAACAGAGTATTACTATTTATTCTCATGTTTTAAATGCATCCTCCTATTTATTTCACCATATTGGAGAACAATGCATATACCCAGTGATTAAAATAAAAAACCTCCCTCCTTCTCTTTCTCTAATTTTTATAGTTTAAAAATTGGGCTAATTTTCATTTAAAAAAGAAGCAAACATTAAATTGGTGCTGGCTTTACTCCCTCCTCTGCTGATGTAACTAGCCTATTGAACATGGGACTGAACATATTTTACAACAAAAGTTGATAAAGCAAGCAGTACAGTGAATTTGTTTACTCGTGCTTCCTAAAAACAAATGAGAATTAGAAGCAGGTGCATGATTCAGCTGCTTAAGTGCAGTTGTCTGGTTCCATAGGAGATGTCCTGCTTTTTTAGAGACACAAGTCTTGCAGACAGGACACACATCATGTTTGTGTGGAACATCCTTCTTGAGTGGAAGTTGAGGAGGAGCAGCCTGGGGCATGTCATAACATGTGATACTACACATCTTTGTTAGACAACTCAAAGAATTTAATTAAGTAGTGTTAAACAATGAACTGTCAGTCAACATGTAAGAACAGAGGGGTATCTTAAGAAGTAGTACAAGTTGGGGTTATGCACTTTTGGACTTTTCACTTTTTAAAAGTGTACTACTCAAAAAGGGATATCAGGTGTTTAAAAAAAAAAAATCACAATAAACCACTACTTAGCAAGATCAATTTTAGATGTGCCTTGTTTGGGAAGAAGTTCTATGTGCCCAAAAGATAATTTATAAAGCAATCAAAACAATTTGTGCATGAAAAAGCTAATTGATACACCTATAACTGTTCTCTCAACTTAAAAATATTTATGTTTCCCAGCACTGCAGTTAAGAAAGTGTATTAGGCAAAGCATTTTACATTACTACAGGCTTTACTAAAACAGTCCACCTTCCTAATTCTAAGTTTGTAAAAGCTTTCCCCTTCCCTTCCAATTTTTACAAGCAAAAAGATGCTAATTAAGTTAAAAGCTGTATAAATAGAAACTTGTAAAACCCCCAAATCTTTGTATTTTTTTTGAATTGCCATTTAAATTATGAAATACCTGTTTCCTGAAAATGAAATGCCACTTTTTTCAGTGAGACTTGAGCATATTTTTTCTACTAAGGTTGAAATACTGTAGATTTAAGCCTGGAGGAAATGATAGCTAGAGTTAAAAATAATTTTGGTGTACTCTGAAGAGACTGCTGGTGGTCTTTTATCCTTGAATGCCTTTTTGTTAAATCTTTTAGTTTCATCCCATAAAACTTGTTAAAAACCAGGACTGAAAGAAAATTTGTATTGTATTCATAACCAACCTTTCTGAAGCAATTTTGTTCGGAGTACTGCAGTCTGAATTCATGGAAGTCAGTGAAATGACTGATAACTGGCGATAGGATCTCAGCATTGACCTTGGCCGTCCTACTCTCTTGTCATCAAAATCTGGCTACAGAGTGGAAAAGAGAAACACATTCTATCAGACAACTTTGTGTGAACCTCACTTCATCCCTTTTCACTTGGTCTTGAAGACAGCACAGATGTTTTAACATTTGCCATGACAGAAGTTATTTGCTACCATTAATTACTGTGATTGTTTCTTCTGTCTGGATACGCTTTTACTCTAAGACCTCTCAAACTCAATGATACAGTGAGTTGCTAAATAAACTAGAATTAACATAATTAACTTTATGTTTGAAAAAAGTTAAAGAAACAGTGTGTGCTGATCTCACTTTGAAGAGACCTAGGGCACACCATTAAAGCACTTCCTTAGGTAAATAGATTTAGTTAGCCCTTGCTGCAAGACTAATCATTCTTTGTCTTCAATACAACAGTTTCTTGCCACCCCTATGTTAATAGAGTCTTTTTGAATTGTATGTTTGCAAATGTTGGACAAAATTAGCATCTCCCTAACAGCCAGACAGGAAGAGCAGGAGGATTCTCCAGGTCATGTATCCATATTGCACAAAGCCATATATGCTGCACCATATCTCTCTGCAAAGCTTGAAGTTGATATATTCTGCAGCGCAAGGAGAAAAAGGAGATTTCACTCCAAATCTTCCTGAAGAAGATTTAGCTATCATGGTGGAAATATTCAGCTTAATGCTGATGGTTATTTAGGCTTTGCAGCCTGGTACAATGTTAAGTGAAACAACCTGACTTATTTCCAAATGTTTTCCTGCTACTTTTGTTGATACAGTGGGGACAAGAATCACATTTCTTGGCTAATTCTGTAACTGTTTTCTTTTTTCAAGAGGTGACTTCTGGATTCTAAAATTGTAGAGTGCAGTTAGCTCTTCTCTTTTTCTGCATTGAGCATGCCTCCCTCTAGTTAGCTCATTGCAACGTCATGATGAGAGGGCAGGTTTTTGAGAATTTCCCAGTGCGTGCATACGATAAACTACTTTTCCAGCCTACTTCAATTTCTATCCTATAAACAGGATATTAATTACTTAAAAAAAAACCCATTTCATATTAAAGTAGAGAGTTTCATTCTTATTATCCAGAAAATATTAAAAATTCATGCATAATTTCGTATGCCAAATTCCCAAACACCTTGCTTCTGGTGTCATTTCTCACTAAGATTCTGATGTGCAGCAGACAACCTGGAAACATTTGTAGTTTCAAGAATTATTTTCAAGTGTTTTGCAGAGTTCACATGCAGTCAGTTTACATGCTGCTCATACTTTGAATGGGCAGAATCTTGTGATAAAGACACAACAGCTGCATAACTTTTTCTTTTAACAAAAAAGCTCAGGCCAGCCACCAGAGTGAGTCTGACATGGTAAAACGGCAGTAGTGCCACTCACAAAGCACGTTCTCTACTCTTGCAGAATTTTAAACAGGCTGCTTTTTTTAAGTCCTGATCTGTAAGAGTGCTGAAGGGTTCAAGCATAAGGCAGGATTGCTAACTGTGGATTACAGTCTTGATTATTGCAAGGATGGTGGCATGGGTCTGAAAATAAGAAAAACATACTGAGATAAACATGTAGAATTTTCATCATGTACATGTGTAACACAGCACAATATCCAAAGTTTCGGTTAGAAACTTGCTACTTTTTCCCCTACAACAGAAGAAATAACTCCTTTCATGAAATCATCAACACTGAAAGCAACAACGTAAAATAATTTCGAAAGCAACTGGTGTTTAATCCCAAAAACCAGCCAACATCATTCTTGCAAGTCTGTGCCAGCTCAAGTAGACTATTTTAATTGTCTGGAGTGTTTGTCTCTAGAAGTTATCCTTCAATTCCCATATATTTCAGTTTGGTCTCAACTAATATTTATAATATTATATACATGATAGGTTTTACTTCACAATACAGCTGGAAGCAGCTAGCACAGAAAGACATCAATTGCAGTTCAAAGCCCTAAACCACTAAAAAACTACAAAGAGGAGAAACATGAAAATTTGCTTTTACTTCCTTAATAAGGTGGAAAAGAACTGCAATTTTAATAGACATAATAAAATACTCCAAATCCTCCGGAATGAGGAATACTTTATAGGTCAGAGAACTGAATCAACTCTTTGACTGTAAAACTCAGGTCTTACTACCTTCAGATCACAAGAAAACCCACAAGCAACAGAAGTTTAGTAAGTGTTTTTGTTTAGAAGAACAAAACATGTATTATGTAAAAAGAAAGTGCGGGAGAGATTAAAATGAGAGCAATACCAATTCTCTGGCTCCGTATTGTTTTTCCACTTTAACTTTTAGATGCTTGAAACATTCCTCCATACGGTCATGGAAAGGGCGAAGATTATCAGAAACTCTTCTTTCATGAATTTTAATTCCAGCCCCAAGGAAAGGTATCTTGAAGAGGGGGAAAAAAAGAAGCAAAAAAGTGAAATATTAAACTGGGTCTGACAACCCCTCTAACTCCATTTAAAGTATCTGCTAAGTCAACTGCAAAACTCTTACTGTGACTGGCAGACAGATCTGTCAGTTGATCTCAGCTTTTAGCAGCAACTACAAGATGGAAAGGGTTCTTGAAAAATGAGCTTGACCAGTAAATTTTGAGAATGTTGGCTGCCTCACAGTGACTGTTTTCTCTCTTCTATGTATTTGAATGTTAATCCCTTATGAGATTAAACATACCATGTGAGAGTTTAAAAAATTAGAACTACTAGTCCACCTGCTTATGAAAGTGCCTGCCATATTTTATAAGAAAGAAGGCAGGGATGAAAAAATATCCAGGTAGGTTCCAGACTGGTGGTTTCAACTCTTCTCTTTCAAACAGAGAACTAATTGACTGAGAAAGGCTTAAATCAATCTGCTGGGGGCTTAATCGTGTGATCACTTTGACAACTGCTGCAGCAGTTTAATAGGTTCATGCCTGGTTACTGAAGGTGACCTCTTCCTTTCTCCTTGGTTTTACTCTGCAAGCTTCCTCTGTACTCCCCACATCTCGAGAAAAGTTCAGTAAGATAATGCTTCAATACAAAAATGAACCACTTGAGCCCTGAACAGAGGCAGCTTGCTCTAACCAGTCTGACATTGCTCAATTTTACCCCTGTGCTTTTCTTTTTTGCTGCTCATCCTTTAGGCTGGGGTCAGTGAGAACTAAACAAAGGTGTTGAAATCGCCAATTATTCCTACTAGAGTACTAGAAAACTAGAGTGGAAAAATGGTACATAACAAGAGTTTTTAAAAACTAGGGGAGGGGGGAAGTGTAGATACCTACTCCCTTAAAGGAGTACACTTGATAAAAAGGTTAGGAAAAGGTTTATCAGTTCATTAAATACCTCCCTCCACTTGAATTTCTTCCAAAACCCTTCTTTTTCAGAAGGAATGGCTTGCTTACCAAAGTAAATAAATTGAAAAAATCTTACAATGAAGCCACTATGATAGTAATACTACCTTTCTAATCCCTCCCCCCTACAATGCTTTCCTTTGCTATTATATTGCTACTATCATCTTTGCTGTTATATTGGTGTAATTATATCTAGTTAAAAGCAAAAAACCCAAATCTTATCGTCAAAGATAATGGACAGCACACTTTGACATGCTGTTTATTTAATAACAAACATATTCACAAGGAGAAACTTTGTGGTGCTCATCTTTAAAGTATAAAGATATTTCATTACTCTTCAGTTTTTGAAGATGGTGATTTACGAGATTTATGCAATGTACTTTTAGCTACCCTCTGCCAGTAACCTTTTCTGACTGCTTTACCACTGACTTTTAGCTATTTTACATTAATGTTTGGGGCTTTTTTGTAAAATCCACTTGGATTCAACGCTTCCCTTTTGTGTTGTGACCCTACAGATGCTGTTAATACTGTATATATCTGTCCCTCCCATTGACCTGATGATATGTTATGGAAGTTCAATTTCAATATGACTTTTAAAGACATGGTATTAAAGCCCATCCATTACAGACAGATCTGTTTGTCCTCTTCAGAGAGATGTACAGGGTTAGATATAAATTACCACTTTAGTTCCTAATGCCAGATGGTATTACAGTCAATTTATACCACTACATTCACTGAGTACTTCTGATGGTCAGAAAGCAACCACATACAGAGCCTGTGTTGGACAACGATACAGGAGAAAGCTGTAAAGGTTGGTGACTCAAACTAATAACCAAACTGAGATGAATCAAAACGAAACAGGAAGAAACTTAAAAAAATTAAGAAACTAGTAGAAAAAAAAGATACGATAAAACCATTGGGAATACTCATTTCAAGGCTGAGAGAGGAATAAATGGTTAATTCTGGCTGCTTCTTGTCTATGAAACAAAGATACTATCGGCCTGTCATAGGAATGGCATAAGATTAAATCAATGAGGAAGAATTTATTTAGCAAGTTAATACAAGGAGAGACATGGAAGATGACAAGAAATAGTTCGACCCATTCATTTCTGATAGTAAAATTCCAGATTAACTCTCACTATTTCATAACACCCCTCTTGAAAGGGAGATCACTCTATTATGCCTTGATATAGTAATTAGTATGCCCGTTCATTTACACAGCAAACAGTTCTTTCTCACTTAAATCATCTACACTTCAGAGGACTTAGCAGTTAGCTGTTTCTTAAACTACCTCTGTGCAAGAATTTAAGTCTCTTCTCTCATAGTCATTCATTTTGGCATATGTATCGATGGCAGTATTTTCTATTTGGACTAGATAATGGAAACAGAATTGATAATTTCTGAGGTCATGTTATTCTTCCCTCCATTATCATAACAAATGCTTAGGTCGATGAAAAAAGCCATTTTCCCTTGAATCTCAGCAAAAATAAGAGTCTTTTCTGCTACCATCTCCTGTAGGTGCATTTTCCTCTTTGAGAACAAAAGGCTTCTGCAGGTTGGTTGGCTTATTGTATGTACGCTAAAAATAAAAAAAAAAGAAATAACCTTGGTGCTGCTTGTATAGGCAGAATATTCAGTTTTCCTCTGGAGATATAGGTTAAAAACATTTTCTAATGGTCTTCCATGCTATTTGTCACACAAAAGACCTGTAGCAGCAATCTTGAAGGGTCATTGAGCATGAAAATAACTCCTGTGAGCACCTGGCATTCCATTAAGTTTTCTAATGCAAAAAAAAAAAAACCACCACCCCCACAAACAACAACAATGAACACGCACCTCTAGGAAAGAGTTACTTCCCAAGAGAATTTCTGACATTTGCAAATGCTTGTTTTCCCAGCAATTAATGAAGTCCTTATGACTTCGGTCATGCTCTCAGTTTTGTCTCCAAGAATGCAACCTGAGTTTGAAATTCTGGCTCTTTTAACCGTAAACGTAGTCCACTATATGTGGCTTCTGATAAACTGTTCCAAATCATGTGTTCTACAGAGCACTTTTCTGGCCTGCTGCTTTCCCTAGGATGTAAGGAGATACATGGGTAATTCCTTTGATTCTGCTAGCATTTCATCTGACTTGGAACACACACTTGATGATGATTCTTCTCAGGAAGTAAGATACAATTTTTGTGACTAAGCCATTTCTCCAGTTTAGGCACAGATTTTAAAAAACCTGAAGGACAGGATCACTTAGATCCCCAAGAATGTTTTACCACATGCCACATCAACAGGTAAGGAATTATTGCTATGCTGTTTTGTCAGTGATCTTAGTGGGTTAGTAATGTAATACATACTTCTGGTTAGGCACACTAAAATGGAAGGAGTTGAAGTCCTTTTTCCTACTTAAGGGATACTATTAATATCTAAATAGGATAATAAATAGATAATCCTTTTACAACTATACATGCTCTGAAACAGAAGGTTTAGAACAGTCTAAGAGAGACTATTTTACTATGAGTACCTTTTAAAAAAAAATACTATGAATTCATCACAGAACTAGACAGGAGGTTTGTAACAAGAATCTTCTTATTCTTCTACCCTCCCCTCCTTTGGGGAAACAGTAAACAAACAAAAAGACAAAAAAACCCACCACAAAGACACCCTGGTAAAAATGACACGATCATCTAAATGCTATGTTCTCCTGCTAGAAAGGAACAGAAAAAGAGAAAAAAGGAATAGCTGATGAAGCCTTAGATGACCGCTGTCAGTACGAAGTTACCTGCCAAGCAATTAGATCTTTGAGCCTATTCAGCTTTTCTTGATCCTCTGGATGCTCTCTGATATATTCTTCTGTAAAGAAAGCCTTAGACAAAAAAAACATAGTTCAGTCTATAATTTCAACAGGTAAAGATATCAGTGATTACTCCATTTACTCCAAATGGTGACCATAATATTGGTTATCAAATAAGAGAGACATATGCTCCTTAACCAGATACTGCTAGTGCTAATTCCTTATTGTATCAGTTGAGAAGAGAGGTGCTCTTTTTTGTTAAAAGATACTCAGTTTTTATCCAACACTTCTGAGTTTGAGACACTTACTATGAAACCCAATTATTGTTTGTGTTTAAGCTTGCACTGAAATAAAAAAGGCACAAATTTGCTGTATCAGAATTTACATTGATACATGATCATTTTATTCAAGTACTCTGCTTACTGACATTAGCCAGTGTTATACAATAAAGAAATTGAACTCTTTCAAAGATAAGTAGAGCCAGATATTGCATACAGACTGCCTTTTGCTGCCCAAAGATTTTATCTCCCATGTACAAAAGAAGAATGTAGCTATTCGTCCCTGACTGCCAAATATCTAAACAAATGATACTTTAGGGCTAAGAGCATAAGTCATATTCCTCCAGAATGTCATGCTTACTGCATATAATTTATGCATGCACATATATAAATATATACATATATATATATGGCATCTTTTTAGCACTGTCCAAGTCTATCTGACATGCTGAGCCCACTAAGCAAGGCACATGCTTTTCATGAAACGACAGGCAGAAATAACAGAGCTCTACAGCTGTGGAGTAACCCACATTCATTTTGCTCTAAAACTTTAATAGTTTAGAATTTAAATTTACATGAGTTTTTAACATTCCTGCCTTCTTCCCACGCCCGTCTTCACAAGGTGGCCATAGGGACAAATTTTCAGTTTTTATTTGTAGTCGCATCTTTCAACAACAAAACCTTCTGTGCAGAATGGCTGCAGTTGCTGAGAAAACCTGATGACAATTTAATTGATAGCCCACGTCTAAATACTCCAGACCTACTGGAGGATAAACTTGATTCATTTACTCCAGACTAAACCTTTTGATGTGAGAGCCTATTTCATTACAAAAGGCATATCTTGTCTCACATGTATATGAAAACCCTCATAACTGCAATTAATATTGAGCTTCAGTTACTCTAGTTTGCTAGTTTCTGCTTTCAAAGACAGATGTGACCAGGATACAAGGACCTCTTAATCGGTGGAGTTATGACTTTCATATTCCCAGTCCACATTCCACTGCCACTTTAAACAAAGTATGTGGTAGGGTTATGAAATAATATATCTGAATACGCTCTTCGCATTGACTTAAAAGCTCTTACCTTCTCATATTTAGCAAAACCACCCATAACAGCTGGATCAACAATCCCATTCAGAAGCATAGAAAGTGGATTAATAGGAAGGTTCTCATCACTCTGGTATTGGTTAATCATCATCAAAATTTTTTCATTCGTCGTGGACATAGTCTCAATAGCATTCTCTAAAGGACTAATTGTAGTCTATAAAGAAACAAAAGACTTCTAAGGTTTATAAAGACATAAAAAGGTCATTTTCGTTTTGTAAAACTTCATGTATGTGAACAATATTCTTACAATTCATGAAACCAACACAGATTTGTTCAACTCTCTTAGGACTTGGTCCTGAAAGTATAAATCATATGTAGGAGATACTGATCCCAGCAGTAGAAAGATAAAACACAAGTAGTAACAGTTTTGTATGTATAAAACCAAGTAAATAACAATAGCCTTGGGTGATAAATTCGCAAACTATTTTGTACATGAGAATTCATGTAGATACATGTTTTATGGGTTCTTAGCATGTTAATACACACCTGTGACATGGAGACAACCTCAAACCATCGTAAAATTCCAGGAAGTTTGTATGCTGTAACAAATGATGTTCTCTCAATCCACATAGACTATTAAAAAAAGATAGCAGGGAGAAAATGGTACTTCAGGATTTAAACTTTAATATTTTCTGCCTTCTGAAATGTCAGTGAAAAGCACATAGAAAACATAGGCACACTTTTGCATAAAAAGACACTGCAAAATGACTCTAGCACAGCAATTTGCACAAATCATTTTTCTGATTTCAGATTAGGTCTGCTTCAGGCACTAAGCCTGCACAAAGTAGAGGAAAAAGAAAATTACCCTTGAATCTTTTAGTATTCCTATTTTTGCCATTACAGCTTGAATGACTGTGACTAAATGACCTACTCTCACCTCTACCCAGATTAAAATTCCTCCACTTCTGAAATGTATTTCTGCAATTAAAAACAGGAATAGCCATATAATGACTTGCCAGCATTCTTACTCCCCCCCGCCTCCCCGCCCCCGCTTTCTTTTTCCTCTTCTGAACAAGACTAGCTGTTGGTATTTAAAATGCCACTTGCTCATTTACCCTACTGCTCCTTATTTTACCAATATCGGCTTATCGAAACTGCTAGTACTGAGAAATATAGTAATGAATCCAATGAAGATATACTCCAACTATCCCAATTTCTACCTATGTGAAGTAAGTATGCATATTATCTATTGTCATCTGCAATGAAAACATTAATGACTTAATTTTTGTAAAACCATTTCAATGTTTTCATGACCAACTACAAAATGGTCTTCATGACAAACTACAAAATATCAGAGATCTGTAAAATTAAGATATAGAAACTTACCACATTTTTATGCATTGAAACAGAAAAATAATTTATGGCGTTGCAGATTTCATAGAATATTTGAACAATGAAGACTATTTCTCAGCATTACACCATTATACATGGGAATAAAAATGACATAGGTAGTACTCTAGCCTGTCAAGATTTCACAGGACTGATGAAAGCAGACAACACACACCTCTCATTGCCAAGCTGGCAGCTAACAGAAGTGGTGTAAACTACGAGAGGCAAACCATTTGGTATGTATTTACATGTCATCTTGTTTCGTAACGAAAATCTGTACCAGAATATGTTTACCTCCAATTGAAACAAGTACATATGCAGGAGTAGCACTGAAATAGAGAAATCTTATGTTCATTTTTTTGAACCAGATCCTAAAGTTACCGTGTCTGTAATGAGTAATCTAAGACTAAGACTAAGAAAGGATCTAGATCAAAATTAAGTCACAGCTACCAGAACTGCATCCATCACCCTGTCATTCATTTACTTACAGCAAATTCATTTTCAGGGTCAACAGATCCTTTTCTGACTGGTCTTGAATAGTGGAACCGGTGCACATTGTTGGATTTATAAAAACTGAAAGATTTAAAAAGGAGAATTGTAAAATACAGAATTCAGAAATTTATGGATCTTGTTATCACAGTGAAATATTTCATTTTTAGTCAGTTGAGTTTTTGATTAAAAGCAAATGTACTGCTCAGAAAAAAAGCACTGAAAACTCAGGAGACAACTACTTTATCTATAAGTAAGGGTCCACACACAGTATTTTACAAGTATTAAGCTTCAGCTTGTGACTGGGAATAATTTCCAGGTATAAAAATTCCAGAACTTCCAGATTAATGTTAAGAAGTTGATTAAGTTCTGTAGATTAAGTTGATCTATAGAAGAAGGCCCAGGAAAGACTTTTTACTTCCCTGTATTCTTGCTGAGCATGCACACTGCTTGCCTGTTTTATAATGGCATACAAAAAGGGTATATTTTGTTAAAAATAACTGACTGAACAGCGTGGATATATTCACCTGGACTGAAATACATGTGTTTTTCATCCATGGGGCATGCCAAATTAGTTTAGTAATGTCTAACAATTCTGCTCACAAAGCAGAACAACAGTTAGTAAACTAAACACATGAATTCATTAATAATAACTTCTTGTGATAGATAAGAAAATGTATATAAACACTTGTAGAAGGGGATAGCAATGTAAAAAAATCTATGGCAAATTCCTGTTATGGTCTATTCTGTTTAGCTAATGAATCATTCTCAATCACTGTGAGCACATATTTCCACTAAACTCATAATCACTCAGCTTTTAGTACTGGCTAATTTAAAAGAACATCGATTGCACAGTTTTGGCTAAGTATTTTGCTGTCCACAGCAAAAGACCTCCTTTTGGATTTTAGTTTTTGTTTTAAAGATGAATAAAATTTAAAGCCGTGTTAAGTAAAAGCTACTTTTGCAGATCAAGGAAAAAAAAAACCCAAACCCTCAGAAATATCTTACACTAAAACCAAGCCATGTTTTGGAAGCCTAGAGAGACAAATAAATGGAGAGACCCCAAACAGTTGAGCTAAGCAAACTTCTGGTACGTTAGTTCACAGGAACTTATGATTTCTGATCCATCTTCACCAATAAGGAAAAGAAAGTGGAAAATACTGCCATACCATGTCAGATCACTTTGTACGGTTCCATCTGAAAGGGCAGATACTTTGAAGGTCTTTGACAGAACAAATGCATTGCCACCAATTAATGTAACTAAAATTAAAAATCCAGTAAAGCACACTCATAAAAACAAATCTCTAAGACCGACCAGATGAAATTAGCAGTTTGGTTGAATTCTGCACCTGAGACAAACAATTGGAAAAATCTCCCATATGACAAGAGATTGTGGAGCACTTTGCTGAATAAAACTGTTACAAGTTCAAAATGTGTCTGGAACTACACTGAAATCTAGTCAAGCAGGACCAGATTTGTAAGCTGTCTTTCAGTTACTGATGTTAAAATTAATTCAAGTTGAAATGGGGACCACAGTTCATTATTTTTTTCATTTGTTTTAATCTTTTAGTACAAGACCTGTGTTTCTATCTGGTTTATTTATTTCGGTGTATGTGGGGAGCTGATTGTTGTTTTTCCACTCTGAATCAACTGCAATTTCAGTAAAGATTCTATAGAGAAGGCTGCAGATAAAGGTGACATCTAGTTTGAATCCAGCTGTGGAACAGTTAGAAATGAACTTGTCTCAGCTGATAAAAAGAAGTCTTCTGTCTTCAGTCGCTTTCTGCAAAGTCGTAATACAAGTGTTGTTAAAGGGTTTAGTCTGAACCTTTGTTTGTTTAAGTGTGAAGGCATTGCAAAGCCTCTCTTGGATTAAAAAGGCAGTTACCTCAGTTTACCTGTACAAATTTTAGCTTAAGATGCCTGTTTTAACCAGTTTCAGTTAGGGAGATAGTCATACCTTGTGCTTTCACCAGGCACTGACAAGAATATATACAAGAATATGTCCTGCCTTAACTAATGGTGCTTGTACCTTTTGCTGTCCTTAAGTTACAAGCTAACAAATATTATCTTGAAATTTTTCGTTGAGATGTTAGTGGTAACAACAGCTTTTATTGACCATGTTTGCAACCATATAAATCATAGAAAGGTTTTAATTGGAAGGGACCTTTAAAGATCGTCTAGTCCAAGTCCCCTGCCGTAGGGAGGGACATCTTTCACTAGACCAGGTTGCTCAAAAGCCACGTCCGACCTCCCCTTGAACACTTCCAGGGATGAGGTGTCCACAACTTCTCTGGGCAATTTGTTCCAGTGTCTTACGCCCCTCATAGTAAAGAATTTCTACCTTATATCCAATCGAAATCTACCCTCTTCCAGTTTAAAATCATTGCCCCCCATCCTGTCACTACAGGCTGTGGTAAAAAGTCTCTCTCCAACTTTCTTACAATCCCCCTTATATATTGATGGATTTGGAGCCAAAAATCTCACAAGCCTGAAGTCAGCCAATATTCCAGTAGGTTCAGTATGCAGTTTTGGTGTCAGCTATTAGAATGAACCATCACTTCTCACACATGTAGCCAGAACACTTAATTAGGAGCATGTAATAAGTTCAACCTGTTCTACGTGGGCTAGGAGTTCAGAAATGTTAGCCAGTCTGTTCTCAGAATACTTTGGACAATTAATTTCCTTTATTCCTTTACAAAATCCTGACCATAGTATCAATGGAAACCATTTTACCACTGTGTGTTTTGCACTTGGCAAGAAGTCATAACAAGATCCTGTTGTATGACAGCCTTCAACTCAACCATTCTCATACTGCCAGTCACCTCTCTCCTTCATTTGTCTATGAACCTCTGCTGAAAACTCAGGAACTTGCACTCAAAGCACCTCCCCTCCATAACCATACACTATTCCTGAAGTGGTCAATGGGTAGATGTTCTTCCATGGAATTCCTAGGGAATACATGTCAGTAAACTAAGACAATAAAAGCTCTAAGATTCATTGGCAAATGACCAAGTTCACAAAATAATGACTGTCTAATTTAGGAATATGGACTTTCATTATATTTTCCATTACAGAAATTCACTTACTTTATAATTTGATCAGGTACTGCCTTATTTTTGAATCTAGGTTGCTCCTCCAGGACTGGCTGCACTGTAAAACACTGGATATCTGAAATCGTGAAAGTTAAGGGCATGTTATTAACTATCAGTATGAAATATTGTATGCTGTGGGGGAAATTAAAAAAAAAAACAAAACAAAAAAAAAAACAACAACAGACACACATTTCCTGATAAAAAATCTGCAAGGTTCAGCATTTCATTTGTGGAGCTTTTGTGGACAAGAAAGGAAAAATCCACGAATAGTAACCAGTGAATATATATTAATATTGATTTTGAGCTGCATATTTTTTTTATTTACTGAGCTTGAATATCTGTAGCTGAATTTATCACACCGAATCATTCATTAAATTTTAAAGCCAAACTTACAAAAATAACATCTGATGTTAACAGTTTCACTAACAGTTTCACTATTTAGCTTTAGGCATGTATAACGTCATGATGTTTCGCATTTCAACACTGAAAACTGTAATTGAGCAGCCCTTTACCTGAGATTTCCTTTTTCTATGCAAATGTTATTTTAAAATCTGAATACTGTGTTTGTAAATAAATATATTCTTACGTATGTCAGTATATTTGAAACTCTTGCCCACTGGTAAGATTCTGTAGTTTTTTCCAAAGTGCATCTCCTGTTAGTTGCAAATAGACTTGAGCAAAGTCTACTTTAAGAAAGCACTGAAGCATATGATCTCAAAAAAAAAAAGTTAAGACACAAGACAGACTTATGAGAGCTTGGCTCCCAAGCTTAATGTACTATTTTACACAAGCCTGTAATACTCTGCTTCAGTCCCAACAGTGTAAAAGGAAAGCAGTATTCCTTTTCTCCAGCAGGTTCCACCAGAACAGACTCAAGAGAGCATATGAAGTGTTACAGTATTACCTTGAAAATTAACAAAGGAAAATGAACACATGAAAAAAAAGGTCTGATACAATGAAGTGATCTCATATCTGCTCAGCCAGTAATGATTTAAATCAGAGCATGAAGAAAAAGAGAATGTGTGCAAGCAACTGTTAGAGTACTTCCAAACAAGAATCCTTTAAGGCATTCTAAAAGGTGGTTAATTATGTTTATGAGCTCATTTTCCTAGGAAAATTTCTGAGAGTGACATAAGGTATATTATCTTGCCAAGAAATGCAGGTGATACCCAAATGCACTGCCAGTCAGAACAATGTTCAAGGAAGACATGAATTTACTATCAAGACACAACAGCTGCGAATGTGAGGTAATAGATGATTTTCTGCTTTAAACAGGCAATTCAAGTTTTCATCACTGTTTTTGCCATTTGAAGAAAATAAAGGTAAACCATGTATGAACTTGAACGACTTTTCTTCACCAAAAAGGCTGTCAAGCGTTGGAACAGGCTGCCCAGGGAAGTGGTTGAGTCACCATCCCTGGAGGTATTTAAAAGGCGTGTAGATGTGGTGCTTAGGGACATGGTTTAGTGGTGGACTTGGCAATGTTAGCTTTATGTTGGACTCAATCTTAAAGATCTTTTCCTACTTAAATGATTCTGTGTTTCTATGATGACTGAGAGAGACAGACTCCTTAGAATTGTGAGAAAAACAAGCGCAAACATCTTAAGAATAAACCATAAAAGACATGCAGGGCATAAAAGTAAAACTGCAAGCTGAGCTCCACATCAATGAACTTTCATCCTTTTTAGGAAATGATTCTTCGACACAGATAAACTCTTGCTGAAAAACAAGGTTTCCGCAGCCCACCTGCATTCTGTAATCTCCACATGTTCAAGGATACATTGACAAGGAGAGTTTTTCACATCCTCTCCAGGTGCTGAGGTGGTGTTCATCTTCTCTGCGCTGGGAAACTGGCTCATCAGCTGTGCCTGGAAATCCTCTCTCCTCTCATATTCCTTCCCACGATAGATGAATACTTTGTTCTGCAAGGAATAAATAGCTGTTTTCTTGGGCTCTATGATGCTGAGGCAGAAGTTACAGATGCATGTTTATCAGTACAAAGGCACAATGGGGTCTCCAAATTTTGGAATGAGTCATACAGCTTTCTGAATGTTAATTAACTGTAAAGCAAGATAACCCTTTGACCAGGTGCTGGAATGCAGCACTGACTCTCCGGAGATGATACTTTATGCTGTCAGATAGAATGAAGATAAACTGGCATCACCACTGACGATGCTCCTGTAGAGCAGAATAAAATCAGAATGGGACATAAGAGAAGTAGTGAAATTCCTTTTCTTCTTGTCTGTCAAGTGTAAGGATTTGCTTTCAGATACATTCTGGGTCCAGGTTTCACAGCTTTCTAATACCAATATATAGGATTCCTCTACCTACTCCTTCTCCTTGGTATTATGAAATGTCATCATTTACAATACAGTCTATCCCTGTGGTTCAGTTTGCTTCATGTAACAGGATACTTCTATAACACCAGAAACAAAAAAGTGTCATGCTTCCTTTGGTGTAATATTAGCATACCTTTTCACTATTTTTTCCAATGTTTTCAAGGCAACCTTGACCTTTAAAACTGGGAAAGAGAGGTCAAATTCATAGTCTATCCACATTCCAAACACTATGTACACTTCTTGTCCTATCATCTCATGAACTAGAAAATGGCAAGCAAGGGAGCCAGGATGTTAAAACATATGGAATGGTTGCTGTGGAAGCAATGTTTAAACAAACCAAGACTATAGGAGAACAGTATGTCATGAGTGGCATGAGGAAGGTGAATAAAGAGCAACTGTTCAGCCTTTCTGTAAGAACTAGTGTAGAGAAATCAGAAGACAACAAAAAGTCAACAGTAAACCTCCAATACACAGAGTTGTGTACTGTGAGGCCACAGCATGTTCTGGAGGGCATTGGTTCAGAAAGCAACTGGACAACTTCACTGTAGAACAATCCATGAAGGGCTAGAAAACAAAAGTGTCACCTCCAGCCCGGGAAGCTGTTTATCAGGGAATGTATACCAGGTCAATATCACTGCACACCTTCCCTGTATTATACTCTTCCCTACCCTACTGATCTACTGTTTCCCACTGTTAAAGACACAATATTCGGCTATAGAGTGCATTGGTCTGAAAAATACACTTTCTCCATTGGTAACGTATTGCAGTTGTAGCTGAGAGGCAATATAAACCTGAAACTCTTGTCAGTCCATGACAAGGTCCACTAAATACCAAGCTCACGTGAAACAGAATTTTGGATTTCATTTGAACACGTTAGTTAATGGCATTCTACTAGCTATCAATAATCCGTGTGAGAAATATGTGCCACAAGAGCTGCCCATACCAAATTACATCATACTGCTGCATTTGGCTCTCATATATCACCTTCATAGCTGATATATCTTCTAGTTTCTGCAATCAAACCAAGAGAAGGAATCAAATGTATCTGAAAACATGCATATCCTTACAAGTAACAAGTCAGATTCTGACTACCATCCTGCATCCAAGCAAAACTAAATCCATGGCAAATATCCCCAGAGACTCACTTGCATTAGGAAAGTACGCTCATATTTTTAGTAGCATATGAAAATAGATGAAACAAGTAAGAATTTAAACAGGTTTACCCTTAGAAATGTGGGGAATCCTTGGCCATAATATCCAACAGCAAAATAGTCTGGTTTAGGTCTCAGAATTTTCATGATGTTTTCATAGAACTTTGCTTGTTGAATCTGAAAGCAAAACCAACTGCAATTACTTCTGTTTGGGGTTTTTTTCCATTTATTTTTCAGCCTCTACATAGTACTATGCTACTGATAGCTACTACAGCTATCCATGGATATGCAAGATATCAGTTGTCAGTTGCCAAGCTATAGCATAATCAGTTAGCATGCACATGCATATGACACTGTTGTGGTATATTAAATATTGTTTACTTTTATATGCAAATATAATACCTAGCTAAATGTGCATAGCATCAACTTCAATTATTTGACCTCAGAATCAGTCTTACCCATAATTTACTAGTGTGAAAAGAAAAAAAGCAAGCATCAAATACTTTAAGCACTTAACCAATAACTGAAATAATACATTTGGAAAAACTCCCCGCCTCAAATGTTTTCTGAGGTATGGATCAGCTCAAGCTTTTCCCCTAGCACCATGTCAAGGGCTTAGAACAATGTCTTCCAGAAAATATTGTCATTTAGGTTTACTATTTTTATTTCCTGTGTTAAACCTATGAGACATGCAACACTGCAACTTAAACGGAATGGGCAAAAATACTGTCTTTATCTTTTAGTTTATGATAAAAGCAGAATTGATTGAGAAGAAAAGAAGCTTTCTTTAGACACAACACTGTTCAAGAACATCGTGTTTTGATTCCCATGGTTTCTTTGTGGAAGGCTCACGGATATCTACTAAATGAGCCCTAAACATTTGTTAACGATCATGCAAGTGTGGAATCTTGGGGATGGGAAAGAAGAAGGTATGTGGGGAAGGGGATTCTTTTTAGAGTAATTCCATTTTAATGAAAGCAAATAATTGAACATTTAATTCCTCCTTTAAAATCTTCCTTCTAGCCTTTGGACCTAGTTCTAATTCCTTGTGATGTATTACTTCCCCAGTCCCTGATTAGGACAGAATTCTTTAGGCTTGTCAAGATTCAAGTACCTAAAATTTAAAGAAAAATTTCAGGGAAAAAATGCATCCAGGTGCTTTTTCTACACTAAAGCAGTACAAAGGCCTCAAAAACCTGTTATACGTCTTCTGTCCACGGCGTTTAAATTGCACTAAGTGAGAACATGTCTATCTCATCTACAGAAGTTTCAAAACACCTCAATATGCAGATGTCCATGCAACTTTAACCAACAATTCTTCATGAAACTCTACTTTACCACCGGATTGTTACAATAAAACATAGCAACTCTTTGACAAATGAATTAAAAATGAGTTGTAGACAACAAGCTCATAAGCAGCTCTATCATTTGATAGCTCAGAAGTAATAATTTCTGTGACTGAAATAATTTGAAGACCTCTATATAATCTTACCAGGTTTTGACTTAGAAGTTCATAGTCAAAAACTTCCTTTTCATATTGCTCTGCAAGTTCTTTGCATAGAGATATGGCTTCTTCCCACATCTGCAACGCAACCACATATTCAAAAAGTAAATGCAGTACCAGCAAACAAGTTTTTAATGCATCACTGTTTAACTACAGTTTTCTTGATTATGCTATATTTAAATTGCAGTCATTTATTAACTGCACATTTAGACTGGAAGACAAGGCAATCATAAACTTTAGGAAAGCAGATTAATCTAAAAAATAAAAAGTGTTTTATGGTTCATTATAGGAAGGAGTAAGTAAGCATACTTTATTCTTACAATAAGATAATAAAAAACACCTAACCTTCCAGATAGCTTAAAAAAGAAGAGTAAATCACTGAAGGTGCATAACATCCAGAACATACCCCACGCAGAGGATCAGTGTATGAGGGGACTGATGCCTGCCTGTCTTAAAAACAAACACACTTCATTTTACAAGAAATTCTGAAGCATACCTAATTCATAGGTAGCCTTGCATACGACAGCTCTCCTAGTCAGCAAAAAAATCACAAGGCCACTTGCCTTGGACTAGCAGCTTGTTTGCTACCACACAGCTTGATAGCTACCTCAGAAAATTACTGTGAGGAGTTACAGAGCTGCACTGGGAAGACTAGGACAGTTTTCTTATCTGCTATAGGTACTTAATGTATCCAGCACAAAAGTGCGTATAGAGTGCATATATATAGATGAAGTGCATATATATAAAGCATATAGAAACTCAAATTCCCCCTCAAAAGGGGTTTTCTGAACACCATTCTCTACTCGTATAAGGTCACTGGTGGCCACACACATATTATAACCATTTTTATATGGTGCCATGTAGAATCATGGGGTAGTTTGGGTTGGGAGGGACCTTAAAGGCCATCTAGTCCAACCCCCCTGCAGTGAGCAGGGACACCTTCAACTACAGCAGGTTGCTCAGAGCCCCGTCCAGCCTGACCTGGGATGTTTCCAGGGATGGGGCATCTGCCCCATCTCCTAGGGTAGGCAGTTCTGAACCTGATAGCTACGTTCAGCTGCCCGCAAGCCTCCTCTGGTGTATCTGAGGAGAACCCGAACGCTAGATAGATCAGGTGTCACGCGGATTTGATTATTCTGATACAGTGGGTGGAGACTGCTACACCAGAGTCATTTCAGATGCCAAAAAAACCCAAACCCCTGTGAGAAGTTAAAAATAGCACTGCATTTCCCTCCACAGTGCTGAAGCACAACAAACTTTCTATCTTCTGAATTACAGGAGCAACTTTCATGGGGGAGTCATGCCTTTATTTTGCAAGAAGCAGTAATGAATTGCCTTCCCCCTTCATACCTTTGGCTGACATAATGACTTAAGGGCCTTATTGGGTCAAAAGAGTCATTATCTGGCACCGCAGAATTTTTTCCTGCTTTCTTTTAGTCTTTTGCTTTACTTGAAAAAAATCTCAGCTTTAATGTCACTGTATTCATAGGCAATTTTATTAACTTTTTTTTTTTTTAAAGCTGAACTAAACCTGAGTACTGAACATAAAACGACTACATTTTAAGTTTGGAATGCAATTCTCAGACTTCTCTGAAACAAGTATGTCCATTTTGAACTCTCTGGTTTTTTGGGAGATAATGACCGAATGATTTAGAAGTGCAATCTGTGTAATCTGTATTCTCTTCCTAGTACAGGAAAGTCCATTCAACTTTTTTTATTATTTTATTACCGCCTGACAGACATGCTTGTGACCAGTATATACATTAGCCCTCTGTCTTTGTGAATGTGGTTATTGAAAGAACGTGTTCATAGAGCACAGATACACTCTGTGAATAAGCCTTCAGGACACAATTTTTACTTGACCCACATTTCAAAGAGGATTTCCTACACAAACACTTTATACAGAGCATATTCATTAAATACTACTGTACAAAGAGATGCGGCAGGGGGAAGAACTCGACAGACCTACCTTTCCTTTGTCAAAGTACTCTATGATCTTCTCATACAAATTCTCTTTCAAGTGTCGATAGGTCTGTGAACACTGGAACTCTGTTGACATGACTTGGGGTGCACACTGTTCATCTGACCACTGAGAATAAAAACACATTAAAAAACCACAATCCTGGAGTTCAACATTTCACACACGTGTCCCCCACCCCCAAGGCCCGGTCCCCTGGGCTCTTCTAAGTGGTTTTTCCTGGTCTTTTTTTACCATTCCACAAAGAAACTGGAAAAGGCACTGGGAATGTTTTCATTATCTCTTCAATCAAGCACTGTGTTTCAGGTGATAACCAGGACTAAACATAACATTTTAAAAACCCGTGTTCCTTCCTCCCCTCCACCCAAAAATTTTGAATAAACATCTGTGTGAGAAAATGAGTTCATTTTATTTTCATGGTGTCATCTTGACTGATTAGGTTTTGATTTTTTATCTTAAAATATTTGCATATGATATTATCTTTGTCTATACCAATACATACAGCATACCTCGTATTTTTGTACGATACATTTTTTATGCAAGTCAAAATGAAGTTTAAGCAAAATTGCACTGTGAAAAGCCAAATTTATATGGTTCTGCACTAGAAGAAGTTCCGTAAGAAATCTCAATTTTTTTCTGAAGAACATTTAAATTTTGAGTTTACCCTTGAAATGGAAATGCATCTTACTGACCATTGTTATTGATAACATCAGTTACAATGAGAATAAACATCAGTTGTAGCAAAAAATAATTATAAGCTACAAAACAAAGCAAACATAATTTGGCAGAGTGATCCATATTATTTAAAATGAAAAGTCAGCTGTCACCCTGTGATAGTTGGCAGAAATTGCATTTCATTTCCATCATTATTATGTCCGGGATAGTAAGAAATCAGCAAGATGAAAACCACATGGAAGTTAAATGGCTTCAGAATTTGCACACACTGTTGACACTTTGCTATAGTGTTTAGTTTCACCAATATGTGGCTTTTAATCACCTATTGAAAATACAATTTCAACAATTAATATTAATTTTGTACTACCTACTGCAGTATTTTTAATCAGAAACTTGAATACCCCTGTGGAAAATAACTAATATGCAGTAAAACAGAGATTAAGACAATCACTTTTTAGTTTATAAATCTGAAAATTGCAAAAGCTTATTTATATACTGAGTTTGGAAAAATCTAACCTTCAGGAGCCATGTATGGAGTAGAAGGGTGTATGCTGCTTCTGTGTAATTCTCACAATCTAAATGAAGATCTCGCAGTTTATACAAATACCTGTTAGAGGAGAAGAATTAGATGTGATTAGAACATATCAGTTAGATATTGACACAACTGGAATACTAAGTGTCAAAAAAGTTCTAGATAAACTCTGTAGTGGAAACTTCATAGATGTCACGCAGTCTTTAAGGACACTCTGAGACGGGTTAAAGCTCTGTGCATTTGTTCAGGCTTTTCTGTCTATGCTGAACTGCTGTCAGCTCCACCTCTACAAGGAAGAGCAAGAATTACTAGACTCAAGGTTTAAGACCTCTGAGTCTGTTATTTCTGGACTGTTTACTAAAGATAGCTGCCTTCCTCTGTAGCACTTTTCGATTGCATGTAAATACTTCCCATGTAAATACAGGCAAGCACAACAGATAACACAAGGTAAAGGAGAAAACACCAGCCCAGAAAGACAAAGCAAGCTCCTGTACAACTTGGAAGGGGAGGGGGTGGGAAGAAGAGTTGGTCGAAGTTACATGTCGCCAGTGTTCTCCTTGATCCCTAGGGAAGCTCTGCTGCTACCAGCACAACCGCTGCCCATCATGTGACTGAAGCCCCATCTTTTCCAGCAGCCAGAAAGAAAAAGTGCATCCCACCCTCTTACACACAACAGGAGCTTGCACACAGAACTCTGACACCTTGCTGCAGCAGCTCAAGGCATTGCCATTCCCAGCTGTGAGCCCAACTGGAAGTGCGTCCCCCTCAGCAATCGCCCACAGAGGGAGCATTGTTTCTGCCTGGCCACTCCAGCTCACGGCTCCAGGTTTAGCTCTGAACCCCTGCAGTGCTCCCTTCAGCTAAGCTGCTGGGCTGTGCATGGCAGTGGCTGAGGCGCAGGTCGTTCTGCAGATTTTGCAGAATGTGAGGAGAGGCAGGGAACAGTGAGCTTTTGAACAGCAAGATTTGCTGCTGCTCATATGCAAAACCGTTGGAGACAGTAAGAGGCCATATCACACCTGAAAGAATTTGCCAGTGTAGCTATAGCCCTTACAGAAAAATGCTTTGCTAGTAATTCTGCATTGCATGTAGTGTTGCATATTTGAAGAGACTTGGCAGACTGCACAAATCTATAAAACTTGAATGTTTTTTCTGCCATTCTAAATGTATTATACACCCTCCGTCAAACCTCAAATCTAGCTGCATTTTCTTTATTTAAAACAATAGACAGTGAATGTTGAGTGATTTGATCAACTGGAAGTTGATTCTGGGGGAAAAACTGCTGATGATGTATACAGATGATAGATTCCAAATCACTGACAGCTAAGCAAACAGTGGAGTAAGAATATAAATGAGGTCAGGACTATAAAAGAGTCATTGTGGGTGTTAAACTAACATTAATTAACAGAAATCCAAGTACAATGATAAAAACAGAATTCGTAAGAGAATATTATTTCCCTCTCCAGAACAGATCCAACAAAACAACTGCCATACCTGATATACATCTCTTCACGGTTAATGTCCTTGTAGAAATTCTAGGGACACAAACATTTAAAAGTTACCTCCTAATGTCTTTTATTAAAACACAAGATAAAAATATATATGCTGAGGTTTTTATTTTCTTGCTAGTTGGACAGCACAAGAAGTTATTTATTGACAGACTATCTTAAGTTTAAAGCTGGCACTGCTACTTCAATTAATATTTTAATTAGTTATTAGCATGTGTTATTATTATACATAGACGTGCGTACTTCTCCGAGTGCACTAATGAAATCATTAGTGAAAGTTTTCCTGTTGGAGAAGAGGAAAAGATGGTTATCCCAATGCATTAACATAATAAACTGCATGCTCTGGCTATAGTCCTTGGCCAGAAAAGAAGCTGGTATTTACTGAAGTTGAAAGTAGCGCTTTTGTGCAATACCTTTAAAGGGGCTAATTGCAGGAATAAAGCCCATTTTTGTCACCGTAACACTTTTGCAGGTATAAGAGTTGCTAAGGCTATGCAAAATGTACGACAAGAATTGCCTCCTGAAGAGCTGCAGTGATTTACACCACACTGCGCGGTGATTACCGAGGAACAGAGGATAGGCGAGTGCAGTACACATTAAGCATGTTCTCTTCCCAACCTTCAAAGTAGACAACAGCTGCTCTTCAGCTTAGAGGAATTTCCTGGTGGAGGAATCTCTATATGCAATACCCTCATTACAAAATAGGAAGAGAAAAAAAGACGTGGTGGCCTAGAACCAGATCAGAGACTCAAATCTTCTTGGCATCTTATTGCAAGTGTATCTTGCAGGTTTCTTCCCCAGATTGAAAAACCATAATTGCTGCGTTGCTAAAGTAGCAAGTGGGTTAGAACCTCGTGCAAAACTTGACTCTGGCAAGCCCACTGTTACATTAAGCCTATCAAAAGGTAAAGGTATATGAACAGTAGACTTCCTTATTTATCCACAGAATCAAAGTGGATAAAACAGGCAAAAAAAAAGAACTGATTGGATGTTGCTTTCAGGTTTGTGCATATATCCATGCAAATAGATATAAAAATCTCTTGCCTCAGGGTTTAAAATCACTACTGAGCATTGCCAACCAGTCCTGTCCCCAGGAAGATTTGCCCTCATCTTTAGTAAACGGATTCTAAAGCTCTCCCCCATTCCCACACAAGAATTACAAGAGAGAACATACCAGTAAGTTCACAGTGCAGCTCATGCGATTGTCCTTGCTTTCATCATTCATCACGGTTCGGTAATCCAGCAGTTTCTCCAGGAGGCCTTTAACTAGGCTGACAAAACTTTCTACCAAGTTAAAAATGCCGGGATACTGACACGCACACTCTGTAAGACTGCAAACACAAAAACATGTTTTTACAGTACTGTGAAAATTAGTGGCCCATCAACGGAAAAACTGTTTGGACCTGAAGGCAAATACTGAATTAGGGCTAAAGCGACTGCAGAATGCACTGGAAACACCCTTTGTGGGTTGATAATTTAGATATCCAGAAGACAGATGGGTTATAAATCAAAAGAAAAAAAAAATTAAGCATTTACACTTCCTGTCTGAAAATTACTGCAATTCAAGGGTATACCCACAATTTCAGAATAGAGCAACCTGCATCTGCTAGTATAACAAACTCTGCCGCTCTACTGCAACAAATGTTAGACCTTCCTTACCTCTGTTTTGCACAACGTAAAATGCAACAGTTATTTCCTTCTCTTTGTACAGTTATGTGTGAGCACAGAGGTCAAACTAACAGAAATTATAATTTTAAGTCAAAAAAGACATTCGTGAACAAGACCTCACCAGAGCAATTTGCCCTTGAGAAATAAGCAAAACCAAACAATAAACTTTCTCCAGATCAAAACAAAGCAGTTAGTTCTCATGATAAAAATATCGGAAAGTGAGTTTTATACACCATCATCAGAGTCCAATTTAGATTAACAAAATATTAGCATATGCTGTTTCTATAAAGTGCTGAAGTGATTTAAGAGCAGATATTTCACATCACTGGCATGGCTTTGTTTTTCAAAGCTTAACTGTTCAAACTGTATGAAATGATTACCAGCATCTCATTAAGGATTGTTTTCTTTCTTTGCTTAAAAGCTTGCCTCCTCTCCTTAGCATTCTGGTTTTCCATTTGGATTCTTTCTGACAAACTCAATTTTTTTAATATAAACACACACACGTACATATTTGTATATGCATGTATTGGGTCTGGTGGCTAAGATGGAGTTACTTTTCCCCATAGCAGCCCTCGCAGTGCTGGGCTGTGTGTTGGTAGCCAGAAAGGCGTTGATAACACAGCAGTGCTCGGGCTGGCTCCCCGACACTCCCCCTCGCCAGCAGGCTGGGGGTGGGCAAGAACTTGGTAGGGGACACAGCCAGGAGAGCTGACCCAATCCAGCCAAAGGGATATTCCATACCATATGACATTTGCTCAGGAGTAAACGCTAAGAGAAAGGAGGAGGAGGGTCTGAAGAGTCGACAACTGACAGAATAGGCTGGAGCACATAAAATGGTATTTGTGGAAAAGAAAGTAAGAAGGCCTTCAGAATCATGTAAGAGACTGGAACACTATACAGGAAAAATGGGGTTATTTTACATATGTTAGTATCAGAAACAGGAGAAGACACTAACAAGGGAAGGTACAGTCACCATTTAAGTGACTATTCCAGATTTTTGCCATAGGTTCACTTGGAGTGACAGCAAACAAGGCAGAGCTATGAACATTACTTGACTGTGAAATGAACATGAGTCACCAAGGCATCACATTTCTTTCTAATATAAGTAGAAAAACATTGACATAAAACACAAGCTATTGCTAATCTCACCCAGGATATAGTATGTAACTCCAGTCACTAAGAAAGATGAACTGGAGGACACATAGAGGAGAACTACAAAATGAAAAGGCAAGAGGAATACCTGTCTCATGAGGGAAGATTTAAAAAGTTGTCTTACTCAGCTTTATAATAATCTCAATAAAAAGAACCCATAAAACTTTAGAATATTTTTTTTCTCCCCAGGAGGGAGCAAGAAACCTTTGAATTTTTAAACAGAGTTTGAAAAAAACCCCAAGTTTTAAAATAAAAAATATTTTCAATAAAGCTCAAGAAAACAACTGCATAACATGGGCCACTGCAATGATGGGGGACTGGAAAGCTTCCAAATGCTCTTTTCTGTTGTGCCTATATTGGTAACTAAAACATGCCAGAATTCATTTTCTGAGCCCGAGGAAAAGTGGCAAAGCACACCTTATATTCATATAGCCAGATTCTCCTCCATCTCCCAAAAGAGCATAGCCTTGTCTATTCTGCGTGTTGAGAACAGCCTCTCCTCTGTTCTGTATTATCCCAACTCTTCCTCGGCGTTGGCTGGGACAGCGCTTATCAGCACAGGTCATCACCCTGCCATGGCACATGCTAACGTTTAGGACTACGGACAACTGCAAGGCAGTGATTAAACTTCTGCTGATCCTGTTTGGTTCAGTGGGCATGGGGAAGATCCCAGCAACCAACCAGTGTGAGTAAGTGTAGGGTACAGAGGTGAGCATCAACACACAAGCCAGTCATTGACCAGGGCTAAATATCCGCATTTGGGTGGCAACTGGAACTAACGCAGACAGTTACAGGAAATTAGTTAGTTGATGAAAATATGACCAAATGAATAAATATGGAGCCCAATTTAACTGGGTCTGTATCCAGTTGGAACAGGGAGTTGGGGATAGTGGCTTGAAAACCCTGCTTTGAAAGGTGTGAAGGTAGGAAGATTTAAAACCAAACAAAAACAGCAGCGAGAAGAGAGGGGAGAAGAGAGGGGAGAGGAGAGTCCTACCATAGACAAGTCACCAGCCTCTGCTTCAACTGTCCCTCTACGGGCATCATTAAACAACTTTCAAGGATGGAACAAAAAATACTATCTGGAGATAATATGAAGTGACATCTTCAGAAATGTGGAAACCTTGAACTTGAAGCCTTGTAGAACATGGGAGAGTATCAAAGGGAAAAAAACGGGTATATCAAAGAAAGAGGAGAACCTTGGAAAGGCAGGAAGAGCAAATGCTATGTAGTATGTTTGATGAGACTATTTAACTGCACTACTGAAAGATGGGGTTTAACTGCATAGGTACCAGTTCTCTGGAAAAATATTTGAATGCAAGAATAAACTGCAAACAGGACAAGCAAACCCTGTTACACAGCTCAGAAAAGTAAACCTCAAGAGTCTCGTACACAAGATCTGAAGGAAGCTTTTCTCTTTGCATTGAGAAAGTTTCAGTTTGAATACTGTCTCCAGCTTTAAGGCAATGTAGTATCTCAAAATAGATGTAGACATTGTAGGAATGTCCAGAAAACATTGCATATGATAAACTGAAATACTTGGGTTGTTTACCCTAAAGAGAAAATGGATGGAAACTTGACAGCAACTTTCAAATTTATTAAAAGCTGCTGCAAAGAGAAAGAGAATAAATGATTCTTTATGTCCCCTGTTGGGGGGGACAACTAGTTGGCTTAAACTGAGGCAAGGAAGATTTAGTATGGATATCTGGAAAAAAACGTACTAGCAGCAGGAAAGTTTACAACTGAATAAATGTTCACTGTGTCAGCTGAATCCTCACTACTGGAGATGATGAATTGTACCGACAGTTCAGGCAGGCATCGCGGCTTAGGCTTTGCAGCAGCGTCATTGAGAAAACTACGGACTTGCAGGCCTGGTCTGGTCACACCAGGAGCCAGTCTGAACATCTCTGCGTCACCTCTTAGCTATCCTAAGGCTTGAAGCCGAACAGAAAACATTCCAAACTGAAAAATTACCTTATTGCTTTCAGTTTACATAGTCATTGCCTGCTAGGAAGTGAAAGAGACATTTTTAAAACTTCATCTGCCCATCTGTATCAGTTTCAAAGAATAGTTCTGTATTGCTTAAAAAGCGTCAGTACTTCTAACTTTTTTCAAGTCTGCCTCTGTATTTTATCTGCCTCGTTGTAGGACAGAAATTAAACTAACATAGCCAACATTTAAATTATGTTTGATTTAAATGATGTTTCTTTTAAATTTTACTATTTAATTAGAATATAGTTACACATTATTTACATATGATAACATTTACATATCATTATTTCATTATACAATTCAGTATTTTTTACAAAATCATGTTTTCACTGGAAGTAGACTTTTTTCCATTGTGGTATACACAAAGATTTCATGCTTCCTCTGGTAAGGGATGTGCCTTTGCAAAGATTGCTCCCCCCTACACAAAAATACCATGCACACAATGTAGCAGGCTTTGAGAAAGTAAAACGCATACACACTCAATGTCACAAAGCCGGTATCGATTTTATCACACAGCCAAAGTGCTACGACATTTTTATACTTAATAACTACTAGGTTATCAAGGCTTGAGAAAGTGTATGAGTGATGTACTTTCTCACTGTTACAGTCTAAGGTACAAAGCTAGGAACAAATTCTCAGAGGTAGGTGCAAGGATTTCACCACTGCCTAATACATCACGCAGCAACCTGCCACAAGTGAAGACACAGCTACTAAGTCTGAGAATAAAACTGAATGTGGGCGGCCAAGAACAAAGGAGACGCTATGTCAGGCTTTGGGATTGCTAGAAATACAGAAATAGAAATATTTTCATTAAACTATAGCACTTTGCAATATTGTAGCGCTTCCAGGATAGCCACCTTACATAAATTCAGGGAATTCTCTCTTAGGGTCCAATCTAGACATAGAGAAAAGCAAGAAAGACATTTTGAAATACCTTATTCTTATTAGTGTGAAATAAAAACAAGAAAGGTTACAAAGAAAAATGGGGGGGAAACCTAGAAGTGCAGTGAGTATTTGATTATCTTTGCTTGAAAGTTGGATAGAGAAATGCAGGTTAGGTATAATTTCTTCATAAATTAGCTGGAGCAAAAAATACCAACAAGCAACCATGAAAATAGTTTCCATGAGCAAAACTACAATGCAAACCAGGTTCACTGAACCAGTATGCTATTTCCAGTCCCTTCATAAAAAAAGTTGGTAAGATTCTATTTTATTTTTAAGTGAGGTCACCAACTCGAGAAGTGGGAACAGTAAGATAAAACACATCCTCAAGGTGTTTATTCTCATGCACCACTTACATGGACTCAAACAACTGCATGTAGTGTTCATCCCCTCGTCCTCCTTCCACCTCATGGTCCAACTTCAAAATTATTTCATTTTCGAACTAATTAGGAAAGAAAAATGAAAACATTGAGCAGATATCTAGAGGTCAAACACATTTCAATATGGCATCAAAAGAATATCTTTGTATAGTTATATCACAGAGTACATTTTTACCTTCTCTGAATTGAAAAAGAATCTATGCAGCTTGTGTGCACGCAAAGAGAGAAACCCTGTTAATATTTCTCCACTGGAGAACTTCTAGGTAATATACCATTAATATACCACAGTGATATACCATTACCTCTTAAAGAAATGGAAGTACATGTTGGATTATATTTTAAGCCAACGCTATGCTGGGTTAATGATATAAAGCCTCTTTAAAATGTTATTGTGTTACTGCAAAGTAAATATACAATCATAATTTGTCATTTCAAAGCCTTTGCAATACATTATACGCAGGAAACTGCTTTATCATTTTGAAAGGGTTAATCCAACGTAACACGGTTAAATCAGAATTTGTAACTAGTTTGCAATGCCTTTATCATATATTATGCAGACTGCATTCAGGTCCGGGAAATTAAAACCATGGAAACCATAATACATGCACATAGTTTGTTTGGGTATTTTTTCCACCCAATTCCAAGCACCTTAAAGAACATTTGCATATTTGAAAAATGCCCTCATATAGTTCATATTTATGTATCATACTCATAACAGAAATACAGAAGTTGAGTTGGTTTATTTTCTCAATATAAAATGAAAAATACCATTGGGAGGAAAAAAAAAAAGAAACTTAAGTCAGTTGGAAATTTACGGGGAGAGGGTTCCAAGGAAAATACTAATATTGCCCAGTGTAGAGCCAGGCATTTTGAACAAAATTACTAGGTATATCAGCCTATTGTTATCCTTCAGACATGATCTGAAACAATGTTTTAAAAAGTGTCCAAAAAGGAAAGTGTTTTAAAATAACCTAAAAAAAAAAAAAAAAACAACCAAAAAAAAAAACCACTAAAAGGCCGACAGCCCATCAGTGTAATTTTTCCCAAGTTTCAAATATTTTGTTGTGAAGTAGCAGGTATCTTCTTGCACCTGCAGGCTGGAAACTCAGCACAAATGTAAGGACAATACCAAATCCGGGCAGAGCCATTCTTTTATTGACCAGCCTCTAGCTCTAACTACAAAGGGAATACATTTATACTCTGATGCCTAAGTCAGTTTGACCTTGTTGTGTGCTTTGCCTTTACTGAATGCCTAACCAAAAAAAAAAAACCACTAAAAGGCCGACAGCCCATCAGCGTAATTTTTCCCAAGTTTCAAATATTTTGTTGTGAAGTAGCAGGTATCTTCTTGCACCTGCAGGCTGGAAACTCAGCACAAATGTAAGGACAATACCAATTCCGGGCAGAGCCATTCTTTTATTGACCAGCCTCTAGCTCTAACTACAAAGGGAATACATTTATACTCTGATTGCGCCTAAGTCAGTTTGACCTTGTTGTGTGCTTTGCCTTTACTGAATGCCTTCATTGCTTCCAAGCCTCTTGCCTGATAATTTTCTTTGATTCTTCATCCTTTGACATCTATTTTTGGCTTGTTATATGAAAACCTTAGAATTTATAAAAGCATTCCAAGATTCATCAGCTTGACTCATAGTCTGGGCTTTTAGCACTGCTGAAAGCCTGGATGTTCCCTTTCACTAAGCTTCCATTTCATTTGGGCATGCCCTCTGTAATGAAGTGCGATACATACATCTCAGAGTCTTAGTGCAGCTAGTCATTTCTTCTCATACAACTGGTTGTATCATGTTCGGATACCATCATATGAGAAGGCAACTTGACAGAAATTTGTAAAGAATCTGCACAGCTAGAGAATTACAAATTTTTAATGCCAACATTTTTTTAAACTTTTCTAACGTGGCTGTCAATGTCCTCTTCATGCGGTCACAACATGCCTCAGTCCTCTCACCCCAAGATTTCTACTAAAATCTTTGAGTACCATATGAATAAATTACTCAGGTGTGGCAAAATTTATATTAATTTTTTGTTTCTAATAATTCATGTAAGTACCAAACGTTTCACATCTTTACATACAGCATGGTGAGGCAGCAGAAAGGAAAGACTGCTTGTTTATGTTGCCTGTTCTATTGCCCCATGAGTCAACTAGAGACATACTAAAAATGGGAGATTACTCGTGCTCTGAGAGCAAGCACACATGCTAATGGGAGAAGCATGCCCAAGAGTGCAAATAAGATGACATTTGAGAAAACAGGAAGCAAGTCTAAAAGAGACTTTTCCAGGTGCTAAAGAAAAATTTGTGCCCTAGTTAAGATCTAGCATCAGATAAAAGAAACTTTGGCATAGTATTTTCAATAAAAGGTAGGAAAGATCTACCACAAGGTTGTAGACAAGCCATTAACCCATGAAGCGGCACAGAGAAAGCATTAGAAAACTAGGGGATCTACATCAAAATAAAGCTCTGCTGCTTTACCTAGATATAATTTTATTGAAAGCACTGTACAAATGACAGAGGATTCACTACCGTACTAATACAACAAATTTTCACAGTTTTCTCTTGCACAGAATGTTGCATAATTTTCAGTATATGAATAATTCTGTTTTCTCCCCGGAGTGTTTCTGTGTAATTGAGTGCTTTGGCAGACTGGGATCCAAATCATCCCATCAGAGAACTGGAAGCATTTCATAGTAGAAAGAATTACTAGAGTATTTTGTATGTGGTACTGTCAGATAATGTCAATGCAGTTATCCTCATCAAAAAGTTCAGTCTTTAGCTGAAGAAGCTAAGCCCAAGGCTACATAGAACAAAATAGTTCTTCCCCTTAGAACACCACTCAGGTCACACATATCTTCAGACTCATGTTTTGGAAGGGCCACTTCCTTCAGTGTTTAGAGAACGTGGCATGCTAACTAGAAACATGTTAGTACGTGTACTTCCTTCAAGTAGGTCATGATTAAAATTACACACCCAGAAAAATTACGCAGCATTTTTCAAGAATGAAGACCAAGCATTCCCCATTTTTCTCCAGAATTATTTTATAACATTCATTTTTGTCCTGCGATTCTGCTAAACAAGACCAGCAAGTGTCAAAGATCAAGGTTATTCCAGAACATAAGCCAATCAAATTATTTTGCCCCTAAAATCAACAAGTACAATTATGTGAAACAGCTTCTTAAAGAAAGAGAATTATAAGCTACACAATATGTAAAAATCTCTATTTAAACTTCCTTAGATCACTTAGATTCCTTAAACTTCCTTAGACACTGTTCACATGAAAACCAAAAAACTAGGTGCAGAAATTTAGGCAACATAGATACACTCCTCTTTTCTCTAGAAGAGGCAGGGAGGAAGGAGCAATCTCAACCACTTGGTATTTCTCAGACCAAGTCAAAACAAGAAAACCACAGCTGTACATGTGTGAAACCAAAACTGTTTGTATGATTATAGATCATGTAATTCATCTACCAGACAGATCTTCTTCAAACAGAAATACTTAAACACTTCACAGGGGGTTGATGTGATATGCAAGAGCCTGGATACAAGTTGTGTACACGCTATACGATGGCGTAGAACCGGAGACTTCTCCAGCTCAGCACCAGGTATAGCACATCTTAAGATGACTGAGTAGAAGAGTAATGTTCAGGAAAACATGAATAGCACTGTTTTAAATGGCCATAAAATGGTTAAAATATTTTGCTGTCTGGATGAAGGGGAAAATTGAGAAAATATGCTGCTCTTTATTATCTGTGAGATGCCTATATACAGAAGGTCATTGCTGAATATGAATTTGCAAACCTTTATAGTATGCATATAAGCAACATTAATAGCAGAACTGAGCAGCATGTAGTAATCCAGTATTTCCACAGGCACTGGCAGTAAATGTTTCCTCTCTGTGGCATACTGAATAGGCCCTACACTGCTCCTCAAAATACTTAGCGACTTCACATCTCAAGAGTCTCCATTTAAGAGACAGTTCCCGTAACGTTCTCAGAGAAAACTACAAATCGTTCAGTAGAAATAGCAATCACATTTTCTGATAAAGAAAGGACTACCACATTAGTACAATTTCTTAATTATTTTTTAAATAGGAGTGTCAAATAAGAGTGAACCTTATTTGTTCTTTAGAGGCCACAAAGAATTTTGGGTTGTTAAGAGTACCGATACTGTGTCATCCAGAACAATTCTTTGTCCTGTTACTTATGGGTTTTGCTGCTCTAATATTAGCTCTTTCTCTGTAATTAGAATACAAATTAAAGATTGCCAGTGGAACAGTACATGCTATACCAATACTAGAGAATAAAGAGCTACCACTGAAATATAAACAGGAAAAAAGATTACTATGGCTGGTCCAGGCTGAAAAAGAAGTTTAAAGGGCTCTGAATTAATTTCTATGTGTAAGTAGTATGTCCAGTAGTGTGTATGTGAGTGTTAGTAACATGGGTAACGCAGGAAGACAGCAGTTTCAGGACAAGGCAATACTAAGCAAAAAGATCCAATCCAGTCATTTTCTAGAGCCGCAGTCTGTGGACTTACTGCAGTAAGACAGAAATCTGTGAATATATCAAGCAGCAGATAAAAATCATCCACCTCTTAAATCCTTTCTAGTACTTATTCAGCAGGTAGAAATTGATTACTTCTCTAAGAGGAAATAATTTCACAGATGCTGGATCTGAACAAAAAAGTCTTCCTAAGCATCTTTCCTGCAGTTTCTCAACAAGCTGCAAAAAAGCCAGTTGCTTGAACCAAAATAAATAAAAAAGCTGTCAGAAATATAGAAAAAAGCCCTGGAAAGCATATTTCTCCTCTGACTTAAACAGAATGTGCCTAACTGTCATTGGCACCAATTTGGCTTTAAAACCACCTGCTTATCTATCTAATAGAGCCAAGAAATCTCCACACCTCAATACGAAAGCACAAAACATCTCCATTTTTTCTACATGTATCTGTCTGAAGCACCAAGCCATACAAACTTGGTTTCTGCTAATAGGATGATCTCGCATCCTTCTGAAATCCTTATGCATAATAAAATTTCAAGAACTGAGAGTAAAGCATATGGGTATTTACAGCAATTACACATCACATGCACCAAAGGAGCTTGCTGAGAGCACCTCTAGTCAGTCATTTAGTAACCTTTTACAGCTGTTAGCTCAGAAGGATGTGAGATTCCACTAGGTTCACTAAGCATAAACGTCTATCCTCTAACCCTACCAACAGCTATGTAAACCCAAGAACACACCGTCTGTCAGCACTATTGTCTGACACAGCCCATCAACTGTCAGGAAGGAAAGCAAATATAGAAAACTTCCCCAGATGGCTTCAGCAACTGGAACCAATGAGAAATACTAAACTGAAAATACCAAACACAAACAGAATGAACAAAAATATAAACACAGATGAATTAATCTTTCCTAAGCCAAGTTAAATCCTTAACATAACTTGAATCCATGTTTATTTCAATAATATTTTCATTTACTCTGCAAACAGTTTTGTGGGTTTTTTTAAGTGTGGTTTGGTTGGACTTTGGTTTTTTTGTTTAAGTACGTCTTTTCTAGCTTTTGGCCTCAGATTATCAGGTGGAACAAACAGTACTAGGTTGCTGGACAACATATCTTTCTTTGGGAAGTCTTAATAAAATGTACAACCTGATCTTTCAAGGAAAGATGGGTTATCAACGTTTGGAGGACGGGATTCTTTTAACGTCATGTGTCCAACAGGACACACGTAGGCAACCAGCTTCCCCTTATATTTGAAGGAGAAGGGGATATATTTGCAGGACTAATTCTATCCACAGACACTGGACGTAAGTTGGATAAATTGCCTTTCCAAGATTCCTAGCTCTCTGAGCTAATGACAGACAGAGCTTTGGTGGCTAAAATTAGTAGATATTAATGGCTTCCTCCCTACTATGACAGACAGAGCTTTGGTGCCTAAATTAGTAGATATTAATGGCTTCCTCCCTACATCTTCAATTAGAGGTAAAATAACAAGCTTATATAACATTTATTCTGGGTGAATGGAAGTGACATCTGCAAAGTAAAAGGAAGGACTGCGAAGAAAATGCCTTAGTGCACCAAACACCTACGTATGTATTCCATTCCATTAAATATATATGTACAGTATCTCATTGTTGAGGTAACCAGAGGTGGAATTTTGTTTTCTCAGTGATTACTTGACTTCCTAGAAATAGCTAAATAAAATGAAATTCCTACTTGGTAAGTTTCAATAACTTTATATCCTTAGCACACATATCTTGTATGCATAAAGCAGGACACAGCCTCTTGACCTAGCAGCAACACAACATGTCTGTCCACCCAGAATGGAGCACTGCCACACAGATGTCTCAGCACAGTGCCACATCAAGTTAGCAAAATCAATCTTTTGGGTGAAGTTTATTAAATCATGTGGCAGGTACCAGGCAAGCTCTAGTTCCAGTGCCGGTACTGACTCAACTAGTGAAGACATCTCTGTTCGTGCTTTTTTCCCATCTCTCATTAGAGAGGATTAGATTAGAAATTAATTATTTATTTCTGAAGTTCAGCAAAATTATGTTTTAATTGAATGTCAATCTAGGCTCCTAAGTGCATAAGGCAGTCTTGAAATAACATGTTATCCTTCTCAAAATTTTATATTAAACCTTTAAGAAAATATCCTTTATAATACTAAATGCCAATTTGTATATGAAAATTGTCCACTAGCAAAAGTTAGGTTATATGTATTTATCAAATAATTTTCCATTCATATTATTTCTTTGCCTTTTCCAATTAAGATGGTAACAATTTTAAGTAATAAAACTTAAATGTGCCTTTCCTTTAAAATATATTAAAAAAAAACAAAAAAAACAAAAAAACAAAAAAACCCCAAAAACCAAACTTACCAGAATTGCCAAACTTACAGATGCAAGTTTAAGAAATTTATCTTAATTACCTCGTTCATAAGAAAGGAGATAATAAAAACCAAAATTGTTGACCAGTAAATGATCGCAATTTCTAAAGCAAAACATTAGAATCCAGGGAGACTCAACTGCTCAACGATGAAATAGTTTCAGTGCCATCTGGTAAAAATGACCTCTTATTTTTAAGCTGCAAGAAAGTGATTGTCCTTATTCCTCAGTGCTGAAAAGATATCACCTAAAACTTATTTATATTAGCATAAGAAGTGATTTAAGGGTCACCTAAGCACTGGCATCTTCCAGGCTCCTAAGTGGTTATTCTTGTTAATCGGTCAGTACGACTGATGAGTTTTCAGGATTTTTGGTCTGTACAGATCTGTGCATCTCTCCCAAGAGATGAAGTATAAGCCAAGAGCAGGAAAACATCTTTAAGAAGGTAAATATAGGACTATTAGGACACAGAGGGAACAGATGCACAGAAGCAATGCGGTTTTTAATCTTGGCCTTGAACCAAAAGCCTTGCACTGTGGAATACAGACCAAAATGGAAATTCCATCTGCTTGTCTGTTCCACACTTCAGTTGACACGGAAATGCCCCGCATGATTTAAAGTATTAAACATAGCTGGGTATGTAAGTGACATACTTACTTTCCTATGAATGTCTAACATTATGACTTTTTGTCTGCCACTTACCATTACACAGATTGTTCTAAATTCATTATTTGTGTAGCTACAAAGCCTGAATCTCCAATTCATAATTTACTGTGAAGGGCAGCGTGCAAACACAGAATAAGGTTAAGGCCATGCCCGAAGAGCTTGCAGAGAATGGAGAAGTCAGCTAGGAATGAATCTGACAGATACTCTCTGCCCAGGTAGTCACAGCAAGCAGTGGCAGGAGATTCAGATTACATTCCCAAATGTTCTATCCAACCATCCGTATTTCTCTTCCATGAACCAAAAAAAATTAATATTTGTGATTTAAAAAACCTTTTCCTTTTCAAAATGACTGTAGGAAACATTTTAGGAATGGCAGTTCTGCACAGTAGTTTGTTTTCTCACAGTATTTCTCCCAATAAGTATTTAGAAAACTTAAGAGTTTCCTGAGAAATCGGGTAATATATCTTAACTATTCACTGCTACTCGTGTCAGACATTCTGTATTAAAAATTGGAAGTTTTGGCTTATCAATATCTGTCATAAGGAAGAGGTATCATGAAAAATTTACATTAGAAAGGACCCCTAGAAGTCATTTAATTCTACCTCCTACTTAACTGAGGGCTGAATTCAATGTCACGTCTTGTTGCTCAGAACCTTTTTCAATAAAATTTTTAAAGCTTTGATTAAGATCCTGCAACTTCTCTGGGCCCCTATTCCAGTACCTTATTGCTGTCACTGTGATGGAAGTTCTACTGAAGTCCAAACTAAGAGCTCTTTTGTTATTAATATTTTGGATTTTACTTTCTGTAAGCAGAAAAGCCCACACAACACTTACTTACCAGAAATAAACTGACCATATGACATTTTAATCAATTTTCACACCGAGTATTCTTAATTACCTTTTTGAATTCTCCTGTCCTTTGGTATTCACACAGCATCATGTCAAAGAAAATTGGGATTGTGGCTTTTCGTAGTTCAACTTCTGGAATAAGAGTCATTTCCAAGATGGGTCCAACCATCCCCGGAATAAAGCAAATTTTATTCTGGCCTGAAACAATAGCAAATTGGCTATTTGAGAGAGGATCAAAAAAACCTCTTTTTTAGGAAAACATTTAGGACATGCAATCATTTCAAGCAGTGTTTTAATCCATCTGTGCTTGTAAAGTCTTACAACTTAGTCACTCATCCCTATTCCTTCTCAAACGCTGAACACATTTCAGTTTTTCAGCTTTTGACATCTCCTTTTAAATAGTTCGAGGAATAAACCTAAGAACCCCCCAAATTCTATCAGTAGGAGAGCGCCACACGGTAATGTCACACGGTGTAACCTTTCTAGTTTATGAAGGAGAAAAACAGTACTTGCTTTCATTCCTGAATAACATCAAACATTGCAACCAATCAAACCAACCGACGCATCACACATTGCAAGCAGTAACAGAAGCAGTATCCACACAACTCCTCAACCCACACAAAATTATCTTGTAGCACAACTGTTACATCAGGTGCCAATGAACAACCAATCTGCAGAAAAACTCAACCAGGTCCAAGACGTTCTTCAAATGCTGCTTGTTTCTTGGGAAGAAAAATGTGTGATATGTGGAACAGACCACCATCAAAATCCAGTGACCTGCGTAAGAATGTCAATACTGCCTAAAGCTGTATGGAGCTAAAATATTCTCATAAACAAATATGACCAGACTTGTTCCGTAACTAGAAAGTAACCTGACTCTGATGTTCCTCTCATATGGGTGCCACACATGAGGTGCTAAGCATAACTGAACTACAACTTCAACAGTTTTATGCAATGTTATTTTTTCTTCCACTCATGTTGATTAAAGTCATTATAAATCCTAGTTAAATCAGTAAAGTCAGTAAGACTGAAAAGAATGTTATGATGACTGAGTAACTTCTAATACCTATATGTATTAGACCTTACAGGTCTGTAATTTTTGAAAACCACAGAATTTCATGTATTACATAGCTATCCATTCACCTCTCAAAATCTGCACTCTCTCAAGCAATCCTCTTACATGAGTAGAAAAAAAAGAGAAACTTTCAGCTAAACGACAGCAATACCTATTGCTTGACCAAGAGACTAATCTCACACTTAAAATCAGAACAGCTTTGCACACAACTTTAAATAAATAAATAAATACATGAAGAAAGTTTTAAAAATAATTTGTAAGACTATCCTGCCATCAGCAACTTTATTTCCATTTCAGGAATCACGAGTAACATCTACTCAAACCTCACAATGACCGACTGACTGAAATGGACAAAGGAAGACAATCTGCCCCACAGAACAAGGCCATTCAATGCCTCATTTGAAAGGCACTCTTGAAGTCACAGTATGCGATTCTTTGACACGCATTCACCTGTTTCAATCTTGCTGTATATGTATGTCTCAAATGTGGTTTATACTTAAGATGCTCTACTGCTTTTCAGGATGCAGATTCCTTTTTGTTAAAGCTACAGAAGAAGCCTGAAGATTATAAAAAATAAATGGAAGGGGCATTTATTATTAAGTGAGAATTATTGCATATTAGTTTGAAACAATTCTCAAGCTGTATGGCTCACTTTTTCCATTGGGTACGTAAGACAATATTATTTAAATAAATTAGTAATGCATTTGGATATTATAAAACAATCCCCTGGTCTTCAACATTATGCTAGACAAAACTGCTAAAGGCCCTTGAATTTTTATAAAGCCGTTGTGCTTGCTGCTTTTAACGCGGACTCTCAGATTCAGCATGAGTGGGATGCAACTGCAAATCGCAAACACACACAAGTGGCAGAGTGCTTCTGCAAGATTTGTGGTACTTTGTAGTAAAATGAAAACTTCAAAGTTTATATTAAGAAACAGATGTTAATGGCTCTAGAATCAAGAATCCATGTGAAAATGATTAATTTCACATTTACACCTACCAGTATTAAAAAGGATGACAAGGGTGATAAACTAGAAAATTAATGACTATGCTGAACACAGGTTTGAGAGTTCACCAATTAATCAGCAAAAGTATAAATCCTTTAAAACCTCGACAACCTCTTTTTGATACATCAGAGTATACTGATGCATTAAAACTTTTTTTTTCTACTAAAAAATACTAAAAGAAAAAACTTAAGGAAGGAGAGATTGAAAGGGGTACATATCACCAGAAGGACTATGTGCAAGGTGATGAAAACATTCAAAATCTCCAGGCAAGCACGGATACACCTTGGAAACTTGAAAGTTTAATAGAGATGATGAAGAGATTTCACATGTCCTAAAAGAAGAATTTCACAAAAAATTTCCAAGATAAAACAAATACTCTACATAAGTTCAGTTAGAATGAAACAAATCCCTTTCAGTGCGTTTTGAAAATCATCGTTGGCTTCCTTGTGTAATAAGACAGGGTGATATTAGAGCCTCTCCACAGCTTATTTTACCTTGCAACACTGCTGTGTCAGAGGTTCAAACACACTGCAAATGTTATTTGACCAGCTCAGGGGTGAGAGGAAAGGTTGTAAAGCCTTTTTCTCTGTCATCTCTCTGTTAATAAACTGATGAAATCTGGTCTTTTCATGATTAACTGTCTGAAATTTGAGATTCAGCTTGCATTTCTAAGTATAATCATAGGTATCATCATAATTGTCTTCACTGTATATTTCAAAAAAACCTCTATAATCCATCTTTTCATAGAACAATACATTGTTGTTCCCTTTATTATGAACTCTCGAAGGGGCTGTGGCAGAACATGGCTGTACAACAACTGTAAAAACATTTTGGAATTTTAATCCAAACAGATTCCAAATCTAATTTCTGGAACTGTAGATTCAAACTGCGCAGTAACCTTCCAGGGAAAAATTTATCTGGTTCTCAAATTTCAGCAAAATAACCTTTCTGAAATCTCCCGATTTCAGTCATCTTTGAAACATGAGAGAAGGTTGTAAGTTCTCTTAGAAATAAAAAAAGGGCAGTAGTCAAACAGTATCTCATGTCAGTTCCAAACTTAATCACAAGAAGAGAAAACCTATTTTAAGTTCAGATAGCAGAAATATTTACAAAAGCACTTCATGTCAAATATTTTTCAATGAAATGAGCAATATGCTATGGATTCAGTTGCAATTAAGTTCATTTGCCTACTTACCAAGTTTGTACCACATGTCACGGATAGCAAAGCCAATTAAACGTCTCATATCTCCGTATCTATTAAAAAAAATATGGAAGGTATTCTTATAATTATCATCATTTTAATACAAAATTGAAGAGATAAGCTAAAGCATACAATTTTGCTTACTTGTTCTGGATCTTGTTGTATTTTGCATGGGAAAAGTTTTCTAGCTGTAGTGAATCTTGGGTAATAAAAGCCACAGCCAAATGAAAATAGTTGTTCCACAGCTGTAAATTGAATATAGGGAAATTATAACAGTTTTGAGAAAAGCAGGCGTGATATTAAACTATGCATAATGCTGAATAATTTATGAAACCAAATGATGCAAGCAATATGAGATTTTTATATTATGCGAAGATGTACATAATTAGTATTATGCAATTATCAGAAAAGCAAGAAAGATGCATTTTAATAACCACTACTACACATTTGCTCTTAGTAATACAGCAGCTGAATAAATATTGCTAAAAAAGATTCATATGAGATTCATTAGCTAACAACATCAGAGCACGAACCACAGCAGGACTAGTGAAACACATGACACGCCTGTGAATCTTAGCAACTTGGAGCTGAAGGCCTCCAATGTAATTACACTGTGTTTGAGAACTACTTCAAAAAGCATCTACTGTCTTCTCTTTGGATTCTAATTCAACAACAATTTGTGTGAAATGCCAAAACATTTTGTTAAGAGCGCTCTACATGAAACAAGGACAGAATACATACCTAAGTAACTAATAGTACCGAGTCATGTACTTGAACTACAAGAAAAAACGCAAATTACTTTTTCTCTAGACAATCAAAATGAAGTACTGCTCTCAATGTGTAAGAGATGGAAAGGGGAAAAAAAGAAACTTCACTAGGAGACACAGATTCAAGGAAGTAAGTACTATTTTCAGAAGCTTCTAAGCAGTCAGCAATGGCTTTAGACACTTCTTTTAAAAACGTAGCTGCATCTAAAAATATGCACTGTCAGTACCAGTGAGACAGTAGAAAGGCAACAGTAAATGTATTCAGTGGGAATTTAAAGAATGGAAACAAAACATGTAACATCACTACAGAGCTTTTCGTTTTGTATGGTGAAATACAACCCTGGGTTGGGAACCCACACTAAGTAGCCTAGAAATACAGTGTTTCATCAAAAACTTAAGTGACCTCTGTCCTTTATAACCTGGAAAACTCTGTTAGGCACAAATAACTGGGAAAAATAGATCCCGACACACAAAACCGCACACAAAAACACAGACATTTCCTACAATAAATAAAATTCTCAAATGTCCCGTATAATGTGACGAAGATCCTGCATTTAATTTATTCCTCCCTTCGAGGCCCAACTAACGCTCTCCTGAGCAGACTTGCTTATTTAAAAGCCCTTCGGAGGGCTGTTTCTGTCTTTAAGTATTTACAGGCCAGAGAGCCTAGTCATCCCTCGTGCAGACACACCGACACAAGCAGCGTTTCACCGGAGACACGTATTAAGCAGTTACGTATTACACCATTCAAAGATGCTCTGAATTCGCCCAAACCAATCACAGCCTTATTAAAAATGACATTTGAATATGAGCACTAGTAAGGCAGCAGCTTTTTTTCCCCTCCCTTAATACCAACACTTAAATTATGTTTGTATCTAATTTTGGACAGTATACTAATAGAACTTACTAATTCAGAGTGTTTTTCCCCAGGACAAATGTTCTTTATTTCCAGAAAGTCCTGTTCTCTCTCCCTCCCCCATTATGAAAGATTTTAAAAGATTGGTTTGCCCAATTTAGAGCTTTCAGTCCCTTGAGAAGCTGTATTTATCGATGTGTAGGAAATACATTTTGCGTATGTCAATTACACAGGTAAAATGGCAAATTTCTCAAATTGTTCTAGATTATGGGGAGAAAAATGAAGCCTTATTACTAGAGTTAATTTATCCACTTATTAATTCCAAGTTCGAAGCCACCTTTGTCAGAGACACACCCTAAAGGCTCAATTTCCTTATTTATATAATACATTTCCTTTTGTCCTCCGAGTACCCTATGATGGATGAAAAAATACAATCCTTTGCATTTTAATAGCATATTCAAGTGAAGGACTCGCAAGCCTTTAAGTACCAAAACTATGTTTAACACCCTGTGAGGCAAAGTAGTCTCTCAAAAGTAAAAAACCAGCAAAAGCCGACAGAAACAGGTTTTAAAATGCAAAAAAACTATGCTCATGAGACCCGTTTTGTTTTCTCTTAAGCCCACAATAACATTCCAAAACGCTCTGCATGTGAAGACCCAGCTACCTGGCGTGCGGTGGGGCTGCACTCACAGTGGCAGGAGAGGACCAGAGCTCTCCTGCTCCCATTTGCCTGACACGCTTCGCTGCTTGTTGACATGAGCCCCAGTGCTGGCTTGTCAGCTAGGGACAGAGAACTGGGAGACAACGCTGGAGCCGAGAGGTGACCCTTCTCTAATCACTTACCAGTTACTCACTGCAAACTCCCGCAGAGATGCAGCATCGGACAGTAACGGCACAGGCTGGCTTAGTGTGTTTTAACACTTCAAAACATGGAGACTATTCAGCTGAGCATGGTGTTAACCACTGTACTGGGTTTGCGTGGCCAGGTTTGGGC